AATTAAACAATTATTATGTAAAAACTATCGAACCGAATTGGATGAAATTTGGTGTGATGATTCTATGCACTAAGAAGTTTAATTGGGAAAAGTATGAAGATCCTAGGTATTATTCAAGTGTCTGAAAAAAATTGACAAATAAACTAGCATTTTTTGCAATTTTTTAAATGATTTTTTCCAAATAACATTAATTATTTCTCTCTATCTTGTTTAAAATTTAATTATAAAACTTTTTTTCCTCTTCCATTTTTGTCTAAAATGAATAGTTGCTAAGTTGTCGACGAGAAATACAAGAAAAAAATGAATTTTTTTGCTATTTTTTATACTTTTTTGCAATAACAATTAAGCCCACGTTTTTTTATTTGCATAGAAAAATTATAATTTCTGATGTTATCTAGAGGCCGTTAAAGCAAAAATCTCCGATCATATGCGTTTTACCCAAATATACCCTTTTTAAAACAGATACCGCCCGGAGTAATGCCTGTTTCAAAAAACGAGCCTAACTCGAATTTTATGGGCTTAAAATTAAGTAAAAAATATACAGTCTAAATTTGTGTATTTGTAGAGGTCGAAAGTCATATTGTTTATAACAAAAAAAAAAAATTTCAGTTTCTCGTTTATATCTCCGAAAATAAGCATTTTTTCTTCTTGAAAACCATAACGTTTTTTAAAATTTAATAAGCGTAAAAAAATTTTTAAAAATAAATTCTAATGTGAACGCTGCTGCAATGAAAAAAAAGTTTGGTACAATTTTATGGGTGAGTCAGCCCCAATGAATACCTTGTAGTACTTCAATTTAAATCATAGTCAAAGAAGACCAGTAATAAACCTCAATCATGTACCAAATTTGGTTCTTCTACGGTAAAGTGTAGCAGAGATATTTTTTTTTTCGAAATTTTGTAAATAAATAAGTTTGGTTAAATTACAATATTTTGGACACCACTACATGCACCTACCCTGTGCCGGTTTTTATGCGGGACACAAATAAGTGGATCTTATTTGTGGAAGGGCGAAACGGGCGGTGACTATGAGACGCCTTCATTATAGCCATCCTTCTCTATCGCATGGATTTCTATGGCTTACTTTATCGCTCTCACGTAACTTCAGATAGACCATCGGTACTTTCCTACACTGTATATCTGCTTCTTAGTTGTTATAACATAGTAGAGCTTACACTAATATCCAAACCAAAGCTTTTAGGTTAAGTTAGGTTAGGTTAGGTTAGAAATAGAAAAATACAACTTCTGAAACTTTATTCAGTAACATCTGTTTCCTTGCTAACACCAATTTGTTTTCAAGTAATCAGTAGTTAAATGTAATTGGATATATCCGGTATTAGTTCTTATAGCAGAAATTACACCAAGAACTTTTAGGTTAGATTAGATTAAGTAGTGTTGTTAGGTTAGGTCACTTTAGAAGTAGAAAGATACAACTTTCGAAGCTTTAACGGGTAGCACTATGTGCTCCTTTGCTAAGACCATTTTATCTTCCAGCAAAGTAACACGCAAAGAAACATGGTTTTTATGATTACTATTTTTATTCATCTATTTCAATAGCAACTCTTAAAGTTAAATTCTACTCTGCTACTCACAACTCCAAGCTTGCATGCTGTAGAATAACTAGTAGACTCAAATACAATGGAAGTATTGTTAGTGTGACATCTTATTTATGACAGGGAAGCATCACTCCTTTGGGACGAAAAGGAATCTTCGAACAGGTACAACCAGAGGGTAACAACTGTAATAGCTCACGAATTCGCTCATCTGTGGTTTGGAGACTTAGTAACTTGTAACTGGTGGTCCGAAATCTTCTTGAATGAAGGATTTGCTACCTACTTCGAATACCACATAGCTAATGAGGTAATTTTAAAGCTTACTGGCTTCTAAAAACATAATTTTTATTACGCGTCTTGTACTTAATTGTTAAATGTTGTTAATTTGTTATAGGTTACTTCGAAGTGGGAACTAGACAAACAGTTCCTCATTGAGCAAGTCCATAGCGCACTTGTCGCTGACGCTTTGACCAACAGCCAGGCTCTTCAGTCAGAGGTCACCACCCCAACTGAAATTTCTGATAAATTCGGAACGATATCATACAATAAAGGTACTTGAGAGCAATTATTTAGTATTAGTTCGTGGTTACTATTTGTTGTGAGATTTTGGAGAATACTATTCATTTCAGGTGGCAGTGTCCTAAGGATGGTAGCAAATTTCTTAGGATTGGACAAATTCAAAGAAGGACTTCAAAAATACTTAACAGCGTAGTAAGTATCTATTTCCTTTAGTATAATCAACGATAGCCAGATATTTTTTAATTTGTACAATTTTTTTCATTTTCCGTCCTAGTGCGTTCGTGATGAAAGGAACAAATTCGTTTAAAATTCAGGTAATTATTCTGTGGAAAAACGCTCGGACACGTCGATTAGTACTTTCAGTTGCGGATTTTTTTACTTATGGAAATTGTATATATAGGGTGTCTCAAGAAGAACATATGCAATCATTAATTTTTTTAAAGGAACACCCTGTATATTATGCCATTTATGAATTCTACTGTAAATTATGAACACTTTTTGTATAACATACCATATCTCTAAAATCGGCGGTTTTCGTAATAATGACGTTTGAAAATTGATATTTTGAAATACACCCAAGTAATTAAATAAAATGTTTAAATTGAACAACTTTGAACATTTTTTTAAAAGCCAACAAAAACAATCTGGTTTCCCAAATTTTATCTTAAACAAAATAATTTTCTTCGTATTAATCGTTTTTCATTCCTTGACCCCTAGACCATTTTGATGCAGTATTTTGTGACAATAAAAACCAAACTATCATCAACGTTTAATTTGGTAATTTTGTCAGTTTAACTTTTTATTTTAAAAATGCATTTATCTGAGAAAGAACGTATTGAAGTACTTACGATGACTGGTTTTGGAGACAGAGTGTGTAATCATTTAGCTAAATGAAGACCAGCATAAATATCAGAAGATTCTACAGTAGACGTTTTACTAGAAACTGTAAATAATCCCCATGAAACCGTTAGGACAATCTTCAGGAATTGTAATTTGTAATCGGGATATGTGTCACAAATACTGAGAGAAAATAAATATCATCCTTATAAGGTTCAATTGATACATGAACTATTAGAAGACGATTGTTACCGAAAAACTTTTCAGCAGAGATATTATTTTTTCTGATGAGGCTACTTTTGTTTTAAATGGACATGTAAACAGACAAAACTGCAGGTACTGGGCAACTGGAAATCCTCGTTGGACACAAGTTTTTTTCCTCATAATAACATATGGTTCAAACATCATGGGGCACATTCTCGTTTTGCAATTGCTGTTCGACAATTTCTTGACTTAAACCTAACCTACGAAATGGAGCCACCAAAGTCACCGGATTTAACCCCTTTATATTTCTTCTTATGGGGTTATTTTAAATATAAAGTTTATGTGAATAGACCAAATAATCTTGATGACCTGAAACGAAGAATACGCCAGGAAATAAGACCTTTTCCAGCAAAGGTAATTGAAAACGTTCAATGGGAAACAATCCTTCGACTACAAAAATGTATTGAAGTAAACGGGCAGAACATTGAAAATTTCCATATATCACATTTCAAACGTCATTATTACAAAAACCGCTGATTTTAGAGATATTGTACCTATGCTGTACAAAAAGTGTTCAGAATTTACCGTACAATTCAAAAATGGTATAATATATAGGGTGTTCCATAAAAAAATCAGTGTTGACTGCATATGTTCTTCTTGAGACATCCTGTATACAATTTTCTTATGTCAAAATATCCGTAACTAAAAATACTAATCGATGTCCAAGTGTTTTTCCACAAAATAATTACCTGAATTTTAAACGACTCTGTTTTAAACACTGTATAACAGCAGGGGGGATTTCTTTATATGATAAATTGTATAAATTTTTAATAATTTAAAGCTCCTACAAAACTGCTGAACCAGAGGACCTTTGGAATTCTCTAGACGGTATCTCTGATATCAAACTTCCTGCTGATAAGTTGACCGAAGTCATGGAGAACTGGGTCAAAAATCCTGGATTTCCATTGGTTACTGTAAAGTTAAATGAAGACAAAATAAATTTAAGTCAGGTGAGAATAAATAAAAGATCAAAATTTTTAGATTATCCAGAATTTATCACCTTTTGGTCTAGTACCTTTCGTTCAAGTCTAAAAATTTTTCTTACGTCTAAGTTGAAGGCAACAAACCTCCCCACATAAAATGTTTTATATTTGCAGGAAAGGTTCCTGTTATCCGGTACCGATGCTAAATCCAAATGGTACGTGCCAATTACTGTCACTTCATCCCAGGACAAGAATAAATTCGAAACAACCACTGCAACAACTTGGTTAACTCCTACAGATGATGTGTCTGTCGCTATTTCAAATACTACTTCTTGGGTGGTTGTGAATAACCAGCAAACAGGTAGGCGCTTCGAATACGTTTTGAAGATTTATACAGGATGTTATCTAGGTCCATGCCATAGCTACAAGACTTTTTCTTGGATTATTTAGTCTGAAACTCGTTTTGTGCATGTAATGATAAAACAAACAAATATTTAATAGGCTATGGTCTTTTGTTTTTGACCATCCGATAAAATCATCTTTTTGAGGTTAAGTTTAGGTTTTTTAGGGCGAATGTCTTACATTGATTTAAAATTTAAAAAAAAAACAATGATTTACTAAATTTTTCACGATTACGTGTCATTCAAATTTACCCCTTGAAATCCCAGTAAGTTTTATAATTTTATTATTTCGTTACCGTTTTCAGGATACTACCGCGTGAACTATGACGACACTCTGTGGAACAGAATCAAAGCAGCTTTAGACAGCGAAGAATTTGGAGGAATTGTCGAGTTGAACAGGGCGCAAATAATAGACGATCTCTTCAATTTGGCCAGAACTAACAAAACTCAGTACACGCTCGCTTTAAATATCGCTTCCTACCTCAGCAATGAGACATCGTATTATCCCTGGTACGCCGCTTTCAACGGATACGACTTCCTTTTGAGGAGAGTTGGAGACAGCAAATTAGGAAAAGCAATTTCGGTAATAGTCATAATTTATTTGCGTTTTTAAAGGTAACGAATCCTTGAGGAAAGAGTTTGTTTGAACCGAATTGCGGACAGATCGACACCAATAAGTTTGCGTCTGATATAGCTTGACCTACAAACACTTATTTTAAAGATACAATAATACAAACAAATACATAATAATACATTGTTGTGGGTAAAACAAATTTAAAATTGTATTCGTTTACTTCAGTTTCACTGTCGAATAAGTCTCTGATGTATTCGCAATGTGAATGTACAACAGTTTCAACTTGTTCATTTCACTTAGAAGTCCTATAATATGTAATTGTTTTTCTTTCGGTGGTCTAATTCACAATTTTTTACATGGTTTTCATAATTAATTTTAGTAGTTCATTTCATTTCTTTCACGCCCTATATTTGGAAAAGCAAAGCTGTAATATTTTGATAACTGAATTTTATGATGTTCTCATCTACTTATCAATATTTAAGTAAATAAAATGTGATTAAACACATCCAATATCCACTTAGTTTAAGGATTCTTTTATGAAGTAATTAAATATTTGCTTAACATGAAAAGACTTTAGTTATTACTATTACAATGTTAATTTCAGAGCAATCTTTTGGATCAGTTGAGTGAATTGTACAAATCCGTACCATTCTCCAAAGTAAATGCTGATGATCAAATATATACCCACAAGCAAGTCCTTGCTCTAACATGGGCTTGCAAGTTGGGTAATCAAGACTGCGTTGAACAATCTACAATGCTGTTCCAGGAATATAAGGGAAATGGTACAATGAGGTAATACTTAAGAAAAATTCAAAATATATCCTACAAAAAGTAGAATACTGTGGTAAAACTTAAAATATTTCAAACTTGTTATATGTACTTCTAAAAAACTATGATAAAATATGCTATATTTCTAATTACTGATATAAATTAATTTAATTTTCTTCAATGTTGTCTATAATTAAACAATCAATATGTTTTCAGACCCGACAGAAACTTAAGGAGTATCGTTTACTGCAACGGGCTGAGGTACAGCGAAAACAAAACTGACTGGAAATTTTTGTGGGACGCTTATCTTGACGCAGGCGATCTTGCTACAGAGCAAGTTACCATTCTCGCTGCATTGGGATGCACCAAAGATACGGAATTGCTGAAAGAGTAAGTTGATTGATTCGTGATGATATAGAGAACCAGAATAATTTCTTCTGCAGCAGGTGCTAGTTATTACTCGAAATAGTAGTAGTAACATATATTTTTGAAAACAAAAAACCGAAAACTTAAGAACCACGCTGAACTTGATTTAGTTACTGCATTGTACACAGTTGACCAGTTAAGTGGGGTAATGCAGAATCGGCTTAAGTTTCGCGTAATAATTCTTGAAATACATGACACAGCTTGCTTAATTAAAATTGTTTATTTGCACGTTTCTTTCACAGTTGTTTTTTTTGTGATAACAATTGTTTGCAGTGTCCCTTTTTTCACAATTCTTACCGCAATACGAAATATGTTTCGATCTTTTGCAGATACCTTGAAAAAACTATCACCGATGACTCTGGAATACGGTCTCAAGATGCTTCAGCAGCGTTCTCCTCGGTATATTCCAATAACCCTGAAGGAATAGCTGTCGCTTATGACTTTTTGAAAAACAAATATGAAGAAATAGCCGAAAAGTAAGCCGTTAATAGTACTATTGAGTGTTTTTTTATGGGCAAATTTAATTGTTTTAGGTACCAAAGTATGAATTCCCTTGGAAATCTCATCAAAGGTATAGCTGAAAGGTTTACAACGGAAAAAGAAGTAAATGATGTAAGTGAAATACAATTTTAGATTTTCTGGCGGGTGCGCTGGTGTAAATACGATTTTAGATATTTTGGCGGGTGCGCCAGTGAAAATACAGTTTTTTAATTTTACTAGATAATCAAATTTTCCATATTTTACCGATTATTTTCATAAAATTGGACTGTTTAGAAAATATACATTTCTATATTTGAAATCTTTGCGAATCTCTACAAATAGTTTTCCTTTTTGTGATAGCACTTTCAAATTAATCAGCAAATTTAAAATTCCGCGGAAAACAATACGAAAAAATTTATAATGTACTGTAGGTTAGGCCATACTTAACTTAATTTAATTTTAACACCATTATTTGCATCCGTTATGGACAATTATAACAATAGATTTAATAGCAGATAAAAAGCAAAATATTTCCGAAATTACTGAAAATGCCTTTATAAAAGTTAAAGAAATTAAAACAGTATTCAAAATGAGACGCAATTTCATTGAAATTACAGCATTCGGAGAACTTGACATGTCTTTAGGAAACACACTGTATAAACGAATGGACTTTTTACAAATTTAAAATTATCTATCTATAACCTAACCTGTGTCTTTCACATTGTCGATATTTTGATTATTACAGCCCCACAAAAAAAAAGTGGCAGGTCCGAAAGACCATGGTATCCATATGGTTTTGGGGTCGCTGAATCCGAATCCGGTATCCGTTTGACTCGATCAGATCTGGTTTAAATTCAGTTCAAGGTCAAATGTAAAGCCATTTGTGTTGTTCGTATTTGATCTTATGTAAGACTATCCTCAAATTATGGCACTCTTGTTTCAATGTGCGTTAGGTATATTTTTCTATTAGAAAGTATTTAATAGACCTGATCGCTTCAAACGGACATCACATTCGGATTCAACGACCCCCAAAACGTATAAATATGTAAGTTTACTTTGTTTTCAATTGATTCTCCACATTTAACTTTGAACTGACCTCAACCCAGATCTGATTGAGTCAAACAAATTTAAAGATATTTTCTAAATAACGGCCCTCGGAAGCAACCCGCCGCCTGTGGGCATGTATCCCTGTATCTCCCTTGGTACATAAATAACTATTTCGTCTATTAAAACGCACATATAAGTGTCAAATATACATTTTTTGAATTAAATATTAAACCGACTTAGTTAATGGAGGCTAGCCTCCTCTCTGCTCAGTTAAAGAGCCTTGTGTGTGGTTTTTATTTAGCTATAAATCAAAATTTTATATTTTGTTCCAGTTAAATGATTTCGTCGGTAAGGAAGGGTTACCAGAAGCGTTCAAGAGCGCAGCCAAGGAAGCTGTGGAAACAGCCAAAGCGAACTTAGAGTGGAAGAAAAAATTCGAAGAGGATCTTACCGATTTTTACACCACTTCCACTGATGCAGCTTCTGGCATTCATGCTTCGTTCGCAGTCACTCTAGTGGCTATAGTTATAAGCAAACTATTTTTCTTGTGATGTGATAACTGTTATTTTAACAACCGAATATAAAATGTGTCACAGCATGAGTCATAAGTTAGCTTTAAAGTAAGGAAAATGACAAAACATCCGCAACAGTTCAGTAAAAATTAATTATGTTTGTAAAATAACCAATTTTAAATGTTTTGTATATTTGTAAGTGTAAAAGATTTGAGTGTTATGTTTTATTGTTTATTACAGCAGTTTCAAATTGTAAAAAGTTATTATAATTATTTATTATATCGCTTTGTTTTTAAATTATATCTATTTTTTCATTTGTTTTTTTTTAAGTTTGCTATTGCCGTTCATTAAATCAAAATTAAAATTGGTTTTAATAGTTTTTGACTCAATAAATTGTTTTTGGAATTGATCAAGTTGCCATACACAGGGTGTCCAGGAAATGCTGGACAATCTGTCGGTTTTGAGGAGGTCTATAGAAAAATAACGTAAATTTATTTATTTTTTTCATTGGACTTTCATACTATACTTTTTTAAATCTCTTTTTAATACACAGTAATAATTGGTTGTTTATGGATCAGAGCAAACGCATAATATCAAGTAATACAACTTTTACTCAAAAATTATTCAAATTTATGGGAAAGAACTCAACTGCAAGAGTAAGAAACGCTATAGGGTAAGTGTAAGAAAATAATTATATTTGTGGTACATTTTATACTTTATAATACCTTTATTTAAACTGACAATTTTTTTAAAATAGAATTTGTCAGTAAAGTAAAATCAGTTCTAGCGGGTTTTCAATTTCTTAGCTTTATTGGAGCTAGAAAATAGGTCCATAAATTTTTGTACTTGTAAATTGGTCAAATTCTTGCTCAATTATTTATTGAATCAAAAATTGGTAGAAGGAAAATGGTTTTAAATGTAATGTTGATGATATACAGGGTGTTTCAGAAAGACCTTCCGTAAATAAAGGGGTGATAGTACGACAAAAAACAAGAATTTTTTGTCTTATTAACTATATGTCTATCTCCTCTTGTTTTCGACAAACAGCGACAAAATAAAATTTTTTAAATAGAATTTTTACGAAAATTTCCAATCGGTGCGAAATATTTTTATGAAATTTGGTATTCCGGGGTTTTTAAGGAAGCCAAATACGCTGGTCTAATTATTTTTTGGATATTTCATAGAGGGCACTATTTATGCTACATTCCTATTACATTTTAAGTTCTAATTTTTTTAAGGTTAGGTTTTTTACCATTCGGGTTCCAACTTCTAATGTACCCTGTATATACGGAAGGTCTTTCTGAAACACACTGTATATTCATACTTTTACAATTATTTAAGTATAGGTATGTGATGGTCACTATAAATCTCTTGTATTTCTTTTTAAACAATATGTAGTTTAATATACGTAACTTGCATTTATAAGTTTTAATAAAGTAAGTATTAAAAAAAAGATGTGGAAAAAATAAATCCTTTCTGAGCAACTGAAACCAAAATCTGAAACTTCTGTAAGGTGAATTTTTTATAAAATGCAATTTTAATTTAAATAAATGTGTACTGCATTATGTATGATGGAAAGCTATATTGTAATAATATTGATATTTACTTCCTTAGTCTTAATTTGGAATCTCTGCTCTGCCCCTGTTGCTCTCCGGCTATGCTCTGTGGGGGTGAACCTGCTATTAGGCCTGATCTTATGTTCTTTTCGGTTCTAAAGCCCCTACGGACGGAACCTATCCCCAGACAATGCTCCGCATCCAACACTTTCCTACGTTTCGCCAATTCTTCTGAGATTAGCACCAACAAGAACCGAAATGAACAGCAGGGCGAGGATAGGGGTTCTGATAGGGAGTCCACCCCCACAGAACCTAGCCCGAGAACAGGTCAGAGATTCCTAGCTAAGGTTAAGGAAGTGAAAGGTATTCAGGTACATAAAAAACGTTAATTTATAATTAATTTCTCTTGTAAGATAATTCTTAACAGCATGATGCTGCAAAAATTATTATTGAGGGTATCTAAGCGAATTAACATACGTCCTTGGGTACTAAAGCTATAAAACTTTAATCTTTTTACCGTTTGACGATAATGGGACCATCACTCTTGTTGATAGAGCCTAAAAAGTAATTTCCAGCGCTGTTTAATTTACTTGTTTGTCATTTTAAAAATACCACACTCTTATTGTTCACCTAGGACTATGTGCTAAAAGGTAATAAAATATATTAGATTGGATAACAAGACAATATAATTTATGAAAATCGCACAATAAAAAACGTATTTTACTAATTTTTAGTAAAAGATTTTACTGTCGCCTCAAATACAATAGTTTTAAATAATGCTCAGTGGGTGCAAGATCTGAGACCTGCATATCTCCTGTGTCCTGTAAGTATACAAATTTATAATTTTTAATGAAAAGGTACGCGCATATAATGTCCAAATTAGTCTATTTTCTAAGCAGATGCTTTTTGAAAAGCGATGAAGATTCTTAACTTATGATATATTGACCAAATAACTACTCCGCGGACTAATGTTGTGACCAAAGTTGAATTACACCTCAATAATCCTAAGGTCATTCATCAGTAGAACCAATAGACAAAGACCGATAGTTATCCATGTTCATCTACCAACATGTGATAATAGTACCAGTGTCTATCCATTAAGATATAACACATTGAGTGTGATATACTCTTATACTCATAATTTTTTAGCATACTCTGTGGCGATACTTAGTGACTACTCCTATCATACCCTACAAGTGGTTAGAAGAGTCTAGTTATGGGAATGTCGATACGAAAGATGATGCATTTGCATTCTGACAGTCTGGCAGTTGAAAAAGGTTGATCTTTAAATTGTATACAGTATGTCCACAAAAAAGGTGTTGAATAGGAAAAACTTTCTTATTTTTCATTTTATCGAAAAAAGTTACTCTTGATAAAAAAATTTGCTGGTTCTTAAGGTAAGATTGGAATTGAAAAATTTTAAATTTCTTGTACGAGGTGATCATAAAATTGAAAAAACTTTAAATGGTACAAGAGTAAAATGCACTTATTTGTGAAGATGTGGAAATAAGTTACTAGGAAAAGTAGTTCAAATGTAAAAGGCAGTCTATAATACCAATTTTCGAAAAAATCGGCCTACTTTTATTTATTTGTAATTATTTGTAAATTTATTTTATCCAACACCTTGTATATAACGATACTACAATTCCTTTGGTTTTAAAGGAATAATGAGGCCTATAATTCACTAGTGAGTTATAAGTCATAAGTCACTTGTAAGTTATGACTTATAACCCACTACTGACTTATAGAAATCATAAAAAGATAAATGTTTGGTTTATTTTTCTAGTTTTTATTAGAAAACCAATTTGAAGCAGTAATAAGTCAACAAATAACCTAAAATGCTACAAACTTACAATTTGATGCCAAAGGATTATTGGAATCATTTTATGATTGTGGTAAATTTATAGAACAGGTTGCCCCTTTGCTTGTGCTTCCTTCAGGAGTCTGCACTACTTGTATCTTATGTGCATATTATGGAAATTCACTTCATCATGCGTATATGTCGCCTCATCTGTTGTTACACAAACATAAGCAGGAAAGTCTACTTGATTGGCACATTGCCGTAAAAACCATCTGCAAAAACGCATTAAGGTTCATTTGCTGACCACGTCCTTCTCCTCGAGGAATAACACTTCCCGTATCTCGGAGCCGCTGAACGCACTGTAGGATTGTATTTGCACATGGGGGGTGACGTTGTGGCCATCGTACCTGGTACAACCTAGTCGCCGTGAGCGCATTTCCTCCGGCTGCACCACACACTAACACCATATCGACACGTTCAGAAAATAGTAAATGCATTGTTTTCTCGGTTCATTGTAAAACTAGTTTGTGCACAAACTAAAAAATTAAGCAAAGTAAGAAATAAGAATTTCGTTTTTAATGTAATCGGCACGCTATTCTTATTTTTTACTTCTTTATAAAAATTACCCTGTCACTATCGTGGAATTACAAAATAAAAACTTTTGTCTGGAATCTTTCACTTTTTAACACTGATGGGTCGATGGACGATGCTTAATATTTAATAATTAGGTGAATAATGAATTCAATACAAATACAAAATCAGTTGACTGCACAAATTTTTTGACAATGTAACCTAACCTTCTCGTAGTATTACTAGTTTTAGATTATACCGACTTAAATTATAAGGTTGCTTCTCGGGTCGCATAAAAACATTTCCAAAGTTTTTAATAAATAATACAGGGTCGGCCTTCATTTTCGTTGAACAAATGAACTTTAATTTACAAAAAAAAAAACGCGAAGATAGAACTTTTTCGTATTGGACTTTTCTATTACAAATATCATTACGAAGCTGTAGTTTAATTTTTATAGATTATACACGCCACACCCTGTATAATAAATAAATTTAAGGATTACAAATAAATAAAAGTAGGCCGATTTTTTCGAAAATTTCACACTGAGGAAATGGATAATTCTTCTCAACGTAAAACTGCAAATTTTTTCCTTGTCAAAACTGCAAATTAATTAACACTCTTTCGCTCACTTAAGCTATTTATTATGATAATAAACTGTAAATATGATAAAGATAACATTGTGTGCATATTTTTATTAATATGCTTATAAAGTAATATATTATTTCAAAACTGGGCCGAGTGTTGCACAATAGTGTGTTGATATAGATTAGACAGTCTATGTATTAACAAAAAACTGTTTTAAGTGGGCGCAAAATTTAAAAAGTAGTGAAATAAAACAATGCCATTGTTCAGTAATAACATTTAATGTTCCTAAAAACTGTTAATCAAAAAGAGATAAAGCTTACACTATTTGCTTAAGAGGTAAACGTTGATACAAACTTAATTATTTTATTTTTAAGTGGTTCAGTTTTTAGTTGTAGACATAAACGGATTTTAAATTTAATTTTAGAATCCTTTGAAATATTTTTTATATTCTTAAATAGAACTTGTATGACGTAGAAACTTTTAAATTGATACACTATTAAGTAAGAATGTCAATAATTTTTTTGTTCAGTCGCAAAGTCTGTGCCCACCTCAGTTCTTTGCAAATACAATTTTTTTTCATTGAGTTAACCTCATTTAGTTAAAATAACAAATTAGTCGCTACAATATACAGGATATTGACACCGATCTAGTTAAAAAAAGGGCGTTTCGTGCTTTCAGAAAATATAATGAATTTTGCCGTACATATCTTATATGAATTTTTTGAAGACACTTTTACTATATACTGTAGGTGTAATTTAATGTCGGACAGGTCTTTAGACCGCAGAGTAGCTGTTTCCTACAATATTATTTAATTGATGGCTTAATTAAGACTAGCCTATTGCTATTTAGGCAACTTTCTATTATAATTAATCCAGGTGCGTTTCCAATTATTTCAGGAGGCAGGATGTTGCGCACATACATCTCGATTTGGATCCTGGTCCTTGGAACCGTACAGCCATACAGGTTACCAGAGCTGTACTCACCATCCTCCTACGACCTCAACTTGAATCTCCCCCCGGAAGCTTTCACAAATGCGAGCAACACATACTCAGGACAAGTCACAGTCCAATTCTCGTTCATCAACGTGACCAGTTACATTACCTTACACGCTCACCATGAGTACATCCAAATCAGTAACATTACCTTCGATGGTTCGGAAGTTGTCGCTGGAAGTTATAGCGTCGACAACACAACGGATATTTTGAACATAAGCATTTCTGATGCGGTTGTTGCTAACTTAACCACCAGTTTGTCTTACTCGTTGGTCATCGAATTCACTGGACTCCTAAGTACAACGGATATGTATGGTCTTTATAAGAGTTACTACGTTGACGCGAATGGTACCACAAGGTACCTGGTTACTACTCAGTTTGAGGCGACGCATACCAGGAGAGCTTTTCCTTGCTTCGATGAACCGGCGCTGAAAGCTAGTTTCAACTTTTCTCTTACCGTTCCCCTTGGGTTGAATGTACTGTTCAATACTCAGCAGAACAGCAGTGTAGCTAACGCTACTACAGGGTAAGTAAAACAGTTTTCACGATGGGTATTTCCATAAGCTGAAAACTTACTTAAATAAGCATAACAAAACCAGGACTAAAATAGATAGCTTTATACGCATTTCATTTTTGGTACTGTCAATGTAACTCTTTAGAAGCATCCTCAATTTACTCTAAATATTTTCTTAACTTATCATCATAATGCAACGATTACGAAACTGGGTCTTCGAAACAAAAATTTACTATTGTGGTTAAATTTTTTTCACCACTAGATTTTATAAAAGATCAAGAAAATTCATATTCTTTTGGTTTTTAAGATATACCTTTAGATGTAGGTAGCTGTCCTTGCACATTTCAATGCAAGAACACGAATATTTAAGAGAAACATAGTTGGATAGGATGTATTGGCCTCCTCGAACACCCGTTTTAAATCCTACAAATTTTTGTATATGCGTCATTGTGGGAGGTGGTCATTTTCAACCCTATTATAAACAACAACGTTAAGTATTTGAAAATATTTATCAGTTACTATACATCGTATTTTTTACAGTTTGACTTCGATTGTCTTCAACACAACACCTGTTATGTCAACATATCTATTCGCCGTTATCGTGTCCGATTTTACTTGTACCACAGGACTTTCCATCGGTACTGTTCCGTACCAAGTTTGCTCAAGGAATGCCTCTTCAGCCACAAGGCAATTAGCGGTTGATATAGGACCTCAGTTACTGGGGAGTTTGAATAATTTCACGAATTACGATTATAGCCTGGCCAACTCGAAGATGGACCAAGTGGCCATCCCTGATTTTGCGGCAGGTGCTATGGAAAATTGGGGGTTGGTCACTTACAGGTATGATGATTTTAACAAAAATGATTGTGCACAATTTACACAACTTCACATCAATTTAAATCACTTTTTGACAATTTATACTGTCGCATCCATTTTCAAACCTATATTTAATCTTCGTATTATCTGAAATACATTTTATTATGATTTTCTGGGCATTCTAAGTTCTTCTAAATATTTTAGCAGATGGTATGAAGTGAAAATATGCACATAAAGAACTAATATTAGTTACATTTTCTAGAGAAACTTCTGTACTTTGGGACCCGAACGAATCATCTAATCGTTATCGACAGAGGGTTGTTACAGTTATTGCTCATGAGTTTGCCCATCAATGGTTTGGAAATTTGGTAACCATGAAGTGGTGGTCGGAAATATTTCTAAACGAAGGTTTTGCGACGTATTTTGAATTTCACACTGCACACGAGGTAAGATCTTCTTTATATACATTTTTTATGTTTGGACTTAGTTTAACTTGTGGTCTATCAAAAACGTTTTCCCTCAATTTTGCATCGGTTATCTACGCAAAACATTTTTTCCATCTTTAATATGGAATTACCATTTATGCTTTTGGGACAGCAGAGATTAATCAACTGCTATAGAGGTCAAAATCACTTGATTTAGGTGAAAATGATTTCATTGCAAAAGCTTGATCCAAAAGGCATATTGCTCCCACCACTCCGTATTAAACTTCTCAACTCACTGAATAAAGACAGAAAAAGCTTCGACTAATTGGGAAAATAATTATTGCAGATACCAGTGCAAAGTTGAAGGAAACGTTTTTGATTGACAGCCAATTGGATTGATTGAACTTTCAAAGCATTGTTAGCAACTTCTTGGGCACTCACAAGAGTTAAGGTCATAGCCCCTGATATGACTCCAAACTTTTTTAAAATTTTTATAATACGAACCAGCAAATACTGTTGAATTGGATCTATCTGCGTTTTAATGACAGTATATAAACAAATTCTGACCTAATGACTCTAAACTTTGTATTTGAATGACATATAACCTTTTCAAAAGTACTACCTCCCATATGATTCTCTTTATACAATTTCTTAGGTACTTCCTACCTGGCAACTGGATAAACAATTTGTCATCGAGGAAATGCACAGCGCCCTTTCCGCCGATTCTCTGGCAAACGCACACGCTCTTCAGTCCAATTGTTCAACTCCTGCGGAAATCAGTTCGAAATTCAGCACGATTTCGTACGGCAAAGGTAAGATCTAAGGAAGGAACAAATTCTTATGAAGCGACAGATGTATCAGGTCTGCAGAACCTTCACAGGTTTCTGCTGTCATATTCTGGTCTTTACAGTATTTAGCTACCGGAAAAAATACCAGTCACTATGATATGGGATGTGGTAGTGTGCCATCGCTATCAGAGTGTGTTCTTGCCTTTACGTTACATTTTTATTTAGTCTAAATTTGTTTAAGACCAAAACATCTCAATATTCTATACGAACTGAGGAGTGTTGCATTACAACATGTTTTTAATCATACGTATATATTTTTTACTTTTAAGGTGGTAGTATTTTGAGAATGGTAGAACATTTCATGCAACTGGACAATTTTAAGACTGGTCTTCAAAACTACCTTGTTAGATAGTGAGTATAAATCTAATGTTTGATCAACGTAACTGTAAAGTTTGANGGAAACGTTTTTGATTGACAGCCAATTGGAATGATTGAACTTTCAAGGCGTTGTTAGCAACTTCTTGGGCACTCACAAGAGTTAAGGTCATAGCCCCTGATATGACTCCAAACTTTTTTAAAATTTTTATAATACGAACCAGCAAATACTGTTGAATTGGATCTATCTGCGTTTTAATGACAGTATATAAACAAATTCTGACCTAATGACTCTAAACTTTGTATTTGAATGACATATAACCTATTCAAAGGTACTACCTCCCATATAATTCTCTTTATACAATTTTTTAGGTACTTCCTACCTGGCAACTGGATAAACAATTTGTCATCGAGGAAATGCACAGCGCCCTTTCCGCCGATTCTCTGGCAAACGCACACGCTCTTCAGTCCAATTGTTCAACTCCTGCGGAAATCAGTTCGAAATTCAGCACGATTTCGTACGGCAAAGGTAAGATCTAAGGAAGGAACAAATTCTTATGAAGCGACAGATGTATCAGGTCTGCAGAACCTTCACAGGCTTCTGCTGTCATATTCTGGTCTTTACAGTATTTAGCTACCGGAAAAAATACCAGTCACTATGATATGGGATGTGGTAGTGTGCCATCGCTATCAGAGTGTGTTCTTGCCTTTACGTTACATTTTTATTTAGTCTAAATTTGTTTAAGACCAAAACATCTCAATATTCTATATGAACTGAGGAGTGTTGCATTACAACATGTTTTTAATCATACGTATATATTTTTTACTTTTAAGGTGGTAGCATTTTGAGAATGGTAGAACATTTCATGCAACTGGACAATTTTAAGACTGGTCTTCAAAACTACCTTGTTAGATAGTGAGTATAAATCTAATGTTTGATCAACGTAACTGTAAAGTTTAAGCTTATGTCCGGTGTTCCTCAGGGATGAGTCCTAGGCTCATTGTTATTCAATATTTTCACTAATAACTTTGTTAGCTGTTTGAATGTAACTGACCCTCCATGCGCTGATGATTTATAGAGACGTTTTGCTCAAGTTTTGACACTGTAATTGATTCTCTAGTCAGTTTAACAACACGGAGCCAGAAGATCTTTGGAATACACTGAATGAAAGTGTCGTCGATTCAATTTCCAGACTGCCAGCAAATTTACCAACCGTAATGGAAAACTGGGTGAAAAGCTCTGGTTATCCAGTCCTCACTGTGACTCTAGATGGGAACCAAGTCAACATATCTCAGGTGAGTACATGAAAAACCATGCTCTTTATCTAGACATCAGTTTGCGATTGAGGGGATATTTCGTTATGACGAACTCTGATTGCCATTAAATATTTTAGAAAAGATTTTTGCTGTCTGGGGAAGAAAGTTTGGAAGCTTGGTACGTTCCAATAAGTTACACTACGTCAGCGGATTCAAATAAATTTGAAAATACCACGCCAAGGGCTTGGCTTACTCCTACAAGCAATTTAACGGTAACTCTTCCAGGTGACAGCGATTGGATAATATTGAACAATCAGCAGACAGGTATGTTTGAATAAATATTGTTTCATGCAAAACCAGTTTGGTTACTATGAAGAAATATATTTTTTAAACTCTATAATTTTAGGCTTTTATAGAGTCAATTACGACACCGCTTTATTGACCAGAATTAGAGATGCATTGTACAGCAGCAACTTCAGCGGAATAACCGAAATAAACAGGGCTCAGATCGTGGATGACCTCTTCAGTTTGGCTAGGGCTGGGCAGGTTTCCTATCCAGTTGTTCTTGACACCATCAAATTTTTAGCTAGTGACACCTCCTATTATCCGTGGTACTCTGCATTTTCCGGCTTCAGTTTTCTTTTTAAAAGGGTGAATGCGTCTTCCTTGCTAGGTCAGATGTTGGAGGTATGTTATCGGCCTATTTTTTTAATTAAATCTACCTACATATTTAACAGTAAATATAGGTAAAAAGTACGCATTATATAGGGAAAAATAATACTTTCCATTACTTTTTGATCAAACCTCGTATACCATAAGAAGTTGTGGTTTTGTAAAGTTTTCCAAGTTATTTTTCCTTGGTAAAGTCACAAGTGTAATATTTTTAAACACATTACCATATTTTTCTTTATTGGATGATAATAATTTTTATTTTTAGATCGATCTCTTGAATCTAATCACCACACTGTACGACTCAGTCCCAATTTCAACACTGAGAGACGATGATATAATATACACCCACACTCAAGTGCTGGCCCTTACCTGGGCGTGTAAATTACGTAGTCTATCATGTGTCAGAGACGTTAAAGATCTGTTTGCTCAATATCAAACGTCTGGCAAAAGGTAAGTAAAAAATTTCATGAAATCGAAACAGTAGCACCTATTTCGTCTTTAACAAGTGTNCTCTTCCAGGTGACAGCGATTGGATAATATTGAACAATCAGCAGACAGGTATGTTTGAATAAATATTGTTTCATGCAAAACCAGTTTGGTTACTATGAAGAAATATATTTTTTAAACTCTATAATTTTAGGCTTTTATAGAGTCAATTACGACACCGCTTTATTGACCAGAATTAGAGATGCATTGTACAGCAGCAACTTCAGCGGAATAACCGAAATAAACAGGGCTCAGATCGTGGATGACCTCTTCAGTTTGGCTAGGGCTGGGCAGGTTTCCTATCCAGTTGTTCTTGACACCATCAAATTTTTAGCTAGTGACACCTCCTATTATCCGTGGTACTCTGCATTTTCCGGCTTCAGTTTTCTTTTTAAAAGGGTGAATGCGTCTTCCTTGCTAGGTCAGATGTTGGAGGTATGTTATCGGCCTATTTTTTTAATTAAATCTACCTACATATTTAACAGGAAGTATAGGTAAAAAGTACGCATTATATGGGGAAAAATAATACTTTCCATTACTTTTTGATCATACCTCGTATACCATAAGAAATTGTGATTTTGTAAAGTTTTCCAAGTTATTTTTCCTTGGTAAAATCACAAGTGTAATATTTTTCGTTATTGGATGATAATAATTTTTATTTTTAGATCGATCTCTTGAATCTAATCACCACACTGTACGACTCAGTCCCAATTTCAACACTGAGAGACGATGATATAATATACACCCACACTCAAGTGCTGGCCCTTACCTGGGCGTGTAAATTACGTAGTCTATCATGTGTCAGAGACGTTAAAGATCTGTTTGCTCAATATCAAACGTCTGGCATAAGGTAAGTAAAAAAAATTCACGAAATCGAAACTGTAGCACCTATTTCGTCTTTAACAAGTGTAAGATGCAATGTTCTTCTTGTTATCATATACAGTAATCAGAACAATTTCTTGTGTGTTACTTTTGTGACGAGCAAATCTTGTATTTCCTTTTGTTATAAACAATATGACGTTCGACCTCTACAAATACACAAATTTAGGCTTTTATTCTGTGTATTTTTTACTTAACTTTGAGCCCATAAAATTCGAGTTAGGCCCGATTTTTGAAACAGGCATATGTTTGGTCTAATTCGCCCGGATTATTGTCAGGCGCAATTATCTGATACAATATCAATTGTATTTCAACATAAATGTCAAAACTAATAGAATAACAGAAAAATAGAGCCTAGATGATTTATTTATGTCAATTAAAATATTTATCTTTTTTAGACCGAATAGAAATTTAAGAAGTGTTGTTTACTGTAATGCCATAAGATACAGCAGCAACAACAGGACTGATTGGGACTTTTTGTGGGACGCCTATCTTAATGCTGGAGACTTGGCAACCGAACAAAACACAATACTTTCCTCGCTAGGATGTACAAGGGATCCAATTGTACTTAGAGAGTGAGTATCGGCCGAAATTATTTCTATATACGTTACGAAACGTCATTCCTAAGTTAACACATTTTGAAATTGTACATGAGACTCTTTAAAATAAAAACAACTAAAAATAGGGAAGATATGGCCTTCAAAAAGTTTTTAAAAATCGTCCTACAAAATTTCCTATTGCTTTAGCCATTTTCTAATGGCATGTACCAGTATTCTAGAGTTTTATTAAATTAATTGTCAATTTACGTCATCTAACGGTAGTTTCCTTAGTTTGGACATGATTGTGATGTACTTAAATAGTATTTAATTCATCTAGGGTGTTAAAACGCTGAATCGACAGAGGTATTATTATCCTATAACACCCTTGATACCTTCAACGTTTCTTATTTAATTCGAAAAGTTTTGACACATAGTTGATGTGATATTTGTTTGATTTTTAGTCTGTATCGATGTGATTTTTCACTAGCACATTTTTATTCAACGACGATTTAACTTTTTTTTAAGGTACTTAGATAAAACTATAACTGATGGATCTGGAATTAGATCACAAGACGCTTTGGCTGCATTCCAGTCAGTCTATATGGGAAGCCCTGAAGGAGTCGACGTGGCCTTTGATTTTCTTGTGCAGGACTATACGACCATCTCATCTAAGTACATAAACATGGCCACTGCAGAACAAGTACTAATCTGATATTTTTGCAGATACGGTGGTTTTAATTCATTAGGAAATCTAATAAAGGGGCTAGCGGAAACTTTTACAAGCGAAGAGCAAATTTCTAGGGTGAGTGTTGGGGTCACTATGAAACAGTATTCTATGTCAAAAGTCTGGGTATGCAAAAGATTCTTAGCTTTAGATGAAAATTGAGATTTTCTAAATAATGCAACTGATGTCAATAACTGACGTTATTGTTGATAGTTTCTATAAGTTATATGAGATTATGGATATCCATGTATCTGTTTCAAAAACTTTAAACATAATTAATGTTAAACAGCTCAAACAAATGTACTAGAAATTTCTTCTTTTTTGTATACTTGCTCTCTATCATTATTATTAAATGGATATTTTGGGATTTTTTTTCTCGAAATTAATAAAATATTTAATCATGTCATTACAAATTTATTAATACAATCTATGATTTGTTTGTAATAATTTTTGTGATTTTCCATAGTTATTCTTCTTCCTTGTTGCAGTTAAGAAATTTCACTCAATCCGCCGATCTACCGGAAGCATTTAGAGTGGCAGCAAATGAAGCTCTTGAAGTAGCAGAAACGAATGCTAGGTGGATGCAAACCAATGAAGCCGATCTTTTGGTCTATTACAACATTGCCATAGCTGGAAGTGAGACGTTTATTCCATCGGTCATAGTTTTGTGCGTGGGCGTATTACTTTTGTCTTTATATAAATAATTTAAGAACAATAGAGATCTAAGTAATAATAATTGGATATTAGATATTTTACATGTGTAGACTTAAGATACAATTTTAAATAAAAAGGACTACCATTACTTTTTTTACCAAAATTGTGTCTGTTTACACGAATTTGGTTTAGTTTTTGAGAAAATAAATATGTAAATTTTCATAATCATTCTATGGAATACCCAACATCTTACTATACAACAGGATACTAATAAATTGTCAGAAATTTATTTGAACAGATATACAGAAACAGAAAACCTTACATATTATACCTATAACAGATAAGTCAAGGTAGATTTGTTTTCGCTTGCAAATAGAATCAATCTTTTGTTGCAAACCTATAGACTTGCTAAAATAATACGAAAAAATATTTTTGGAACCGCTGGCTAGAACCGCAATCGATAGCTCGACTGGCTCTGTTGGCGCAAGTGTTTGCACAATGTTGTGTTTCATGAAGATGTGTAGTTTTTTAAACAATCTCTTTTTGTTCATTATTGGTGTTAAAAGTTAGATGCACTTTAATTTGTATTATGTACTTGTGTTGTAAAGTGATAATATATGTGGGTACACATGTTCGCAAGTGACCTATTTTTAAGCAATACCTCAAGAGCGCCAGCGGGACGCCGCCGGATGCACCAGGGTTCCCGGAAGACGACTCCGACGGATTGGCGCCAAGGACCAGGGACTTCTGCCAGCGACCCACACGAGGAAGGACTCTCCAACGGACACTCTCCCCGTCAACACATCTTTTTCTATACAACTTAGTTTTCAATAAAATACTTTATTATTACCGTTGAGAGAGCGTTTTATTCTTGCTGTACAGCGAAAGCAACCCTCATATATAAATAGTTACAACATATAATGCCAAACCTCTATAAAAATAATATATTTCCCTCTTATATAGCTGATACGCATGTAAGTATGCAACAAATTATAATTAATTGATGGCACGTAAGAAGTATTTACTATATTTCAAGAAAAAGAAAGTAGTATGTGAAACGGGTCCTTTACATTGATTCATTCTTCAATCAAGAAGATCAGTTTCACCCTTTTTTCTAGTACTGTTGGATCTATTTTGGGACAGCATCAGACAAAGGACAAAGCATGAATTTCCCAGTGAAGAGACTTTGAAATCAACAATACTCAAGTCAATGTTAGGTACTCTCTATGCAGGCTTGTTTAGATTTCGAGAAAGCAGAAAAATATCCGAACCAAAGCTATTAAAACGAAATTAAACAAAAGATAAAGTATGCTATCTTTATACTTATCTAACAACCAGTATTAAAGTATTATGGAATCATATTGAGGAATTTATGTGGTGATTTCTTTAATTTTCTATGTAGTATGTAAGATGTGTTAGTGTAAGTACGTATTAGAAATATTGGCGGTTTTAATAACAACATAAATAATTGTAAGTAAAAAATATACATTTTTAGTTAGGTCTATAAGATGTTAATAAAGTATTTCGAAATAGCAATAAGGTGTGAAAGACATGCGGAAATAAAAAAAGATGTTTCGTAATTGTAGATGTCGAAAATATCCAAAGGAGTCTATTTTGTTTTCAATAGTTTCCCAGATAAACGGTTTGTTGGATTCTAATAAAGAACGTAAACTTTTTCTTCATTTTCAGAATACGAGAATGATATTTTCCTTGAAATACATCTTCATCTGTCTCACAGCGTTGAACGCTGTAAGAGTCAAATCTGAAACAGAAACAGAGTGGGAATATAAACTACCAAATCTCTATGCGCCTGTTTCTTACCAAATTGACATCAGTGTAACTGCAGACGCCTTTACAGAAGCCCATAATGAGTTTTCTGGACGAGTCCAGATTCAGTTCTCTTTTACAAATTCCACGAATTACATAGCCTTGCATTCCCAACACGATTTTGTAACAATCAACAGAGTCCTGTTCAATGACAGCGAAGTTAACGCTACGCTTTATAGTATGGATAATATAACTGACATACTAGCCATTAACACAACCTCCGAAACAGACATTGGAGAGAATTATACGCTGGTCATTGAATACACTGGTATCCTGAGTACTTCCGACATGTATGGGTTCTACAAAAGTAACTACATCGACGAAGATGGTGAAACTAAATATCTGTTGACAACTATGTTTGCTGCCACTTACGCTAGAAGAGCTTTCCCTTGTTTTGACGAACCTGCTTTGAAAGCTACTTTCGATTTTTCCTTCACGTTTCCAGTAGGCTTAACAGTTCTCTTCAACACTCCAGAAAAGAGCAGTATAGTCAACGATACCAACGGGTAAGAATTTGTTTCCTAGTTAGTTGTAGGAAATAACTATATGCCTCGACCAGCTAATGACGAATGATTTTAGCTGTTTGCTAGATGTAGAAGTAGTAGTTTCCCACATTTCATCAGATAAATATTTGTTTCAGTTTAGCAACAGTAATCTTTGATACCACTCCAAAAATGTCAACGTATCTGGTAGCTTTTGCCATATCAGAATTCACTTGTACGTCTGGAGAGTCAATAGGTGCCGTTTTATATCAAGTCTGTTCAAGGAATTCATCCGCAGATACCAGAGAACTTGCTGTGCAATATGGGCCTCTACTGTTAGCAAGTTTGAGTAACTACACAGGATATGATTATGGAGCTGCAATGCAGAAGATGGATCAGGTTGCTATTCCAGATTTTGCAACAGGAGCAATGGAAAACTGGGGATTAATTACGTATAGGTAAATAATAATAATTATTTAATTTACCATGAGGAATTTGAGTTTTTAATGAAGATTTATTCATTATGATAATTTTAATAAGACGCCCAAATTGTTATTTTCAGAGAAACCGCCTTGCTGTGGGACAGAAACGAATCCTCTAATCGTTACAGACAGAGAGTTGTTACTGTGATCGCTCACGAGTTCGCTCATCAGTGGTTTGGGGACTTGGTTACGCTGAAGTGGTGGTCAGAAATATTTTTAAACGAAGGTTTTGCGACGTATTTTGAATACCACATCGCGCATGAGGTAAGTGTTTTCTAGTACCTTCACAAACATTTCAATTCTGTCGAAACGAATTAGAGGTTGTATAATTTTATAACAAATTTCATTAAATTATAACGCCACTTGAGTTCTTCTAAATATAAAGATGAATTAGTTATTTAGTTATTTCTTTTAGATTGTTCCAGAATGGGAATTGGAGAAGCAGTTTGTTATTGAAAAAATGCACGCCGCATTCTTAAGCGATTCTCTAGAAAATGCTCACGCTCTCCAGTCTGACTGTTTTACACCAGCTGAGATTGCGGTTAGATTTAGCACCATATCTTATAGCAAAGGTAAATTATATTAGTTTTTCTTTGAAGCTGTGTAATACGAAAAATTTATGTTTTTCACGCGTGTTATTGTGTAGAGTAATTTTTTTACACGAAAACGAAACCTAAGTATTTCGATTTGTCAATATGCAGCTCCCATATCAGATTAGAAGAGAAATACCAGTACTTTCAGATGCTATAACGGATTTTGTGGCTAAAAATGTAACATAACATTTTGTCGGGCTTTCTTACTAGAAGAATTGGAGTTCAATAATAACAAATAACATGTATATGTACAATAATGAAGTGGAAGAAGTTGCGAAGATACAAATTATAATCAGAACAATACAATTGATGACAACAAGACAGTACCCAAAGAGAATAGAACCTTGGATACCATTTGAAATAGAAGAAGAGGAAGATCCAAGACTAGATGGGAAGAACAACTAAGGGAAGACATAAATGGATTTGGTTAGCAGATTGGAGAGGATGAGTAAAAGTGAGAAAGAAATGTACGAGAACAGAAGAAGCAGCTGAATTATACAGAAGCAATACGCGATTTAAAGGGTGATCAAAATCGCTTCGTTTGGCCTCAAAATTTTTTGAATTTTGTAAATAACTCGAATACGTATTATTCGATTTTGATTATTTTTGGGATATGGACTTCTGCGTTCACTCTTCACCTTTAGGCGTTATACAGAGTGTTTTTTTAACTTACAGCTCCTACAAAATTGATGTACCTATGGTGATAAAATCCGTCCATAACTTTTCCTCTTTAGGGCAATAATGACAACTATTTTTTATTTGATGGGTGATACAATTTTGGGCCTCTTGTAGAATTTTGATTAAATGAGCGGTTTGGGTACAAAAAATATGTTTTAAATGTATACATTATCTTGCCACCCATATTACAATACACAAAGTGGGGAATTTTATTTAGAATTTTTGCAAAACCCGAGTTATTGGAAGATGTGCCGTTATTGCTCAAATCTAACACCTGGTTTATGCATGATGGCGCTCTACCACATTTCACTGTAAATGTCTGGCAGTATCTGAACCAAAGATTCCCTCGATGATAGATCGGTAGAGGTGCTAATGTTCCTGTTAACTGGCCTGATCGTTCACCAGACTTAACACCTTGCGATTATTATCTTCTGGACACTCTGAAACCAACAGTGCATGCTTCCACATCTATAACAGTGAAGAGTTGTGGGGGCATATCCAAATGCCATAAATGTTTTAAAAAATAGCCCTTAAGAACTGCAAAGGGTGTCCTTAACATTCTTCGCCGAATTAATTTGTTGTAGAAACAACAGTTTGAACAGTTTTTATAATAAGTTGTACTAAATTTAATAACCTCAACTTTGTTACTTTTATCTTCAGCATTTTTTTGTTGTATTCGATTGCTTTTACCAATTATTTCAATAAAATATATATTATAATTTTCTTTTAAAATGAACTTACCTAACACTAAACAGTTGTATTATCGATAACAAAACGTAAAAACTTTTTTTTACCCTCAGGTGCCAGTATTTTAAGGATGGTGGAACACTTTATGAAACGGGAGCATTTTAAAGATGGAGTCCAGAATTACATCGATCAACAGTAATTTAATTTGTATTTACACTTTTTATTATGTAGATTCATTACCATAGTGTTTAGGCAAAGTGTTTCATAAACCTGTATTAAAAGTTCCAGAAAGATAATTTTGAGTTCAATAATTTTAAAAGTTGACTGTGATGAATTAAAAAAAATTATATGACGTTTACTTAAATACGAGTAGAATAGTATGGAAAATGTTCAATATAGACAAATTTAATATCAAAGAGTATTTTGATGAGACTTTAAGAAAATATATTTGTATTTAAATTGTCAATAACTAGCTTTCTTTGTAATACACATAGATATTAGAGTGAATCAGATATTTTTTCAGTAAATTTGGCAATACTGAACCTGAGGATCTATGGCTAGCTCTCAATGACAGCGTTCTTGAGTCTGTGTCATTTCTCCCAGCTGATTTTATAACAGTTATGGATAATTGGGTTAAGAAGTCTGGGTATCCCGTCCTAAGCGTTACTGTAAATGGAAGGGACGTAACCATTTCGCAGGTAACCATTTCAGTCGTTCCACTAGAGAAGAAACAATTCTATTTAAAAATTGTCATTAAGAGAATTGCTTCATTTTCATTTAATATAAGATTAGATTTTAAAATACGAATATTTAAAAGTAATATTGAGCTGTTGATTCTAGAAAAGATTTCTTTTCTCTGGAGAAGATGCTACAACAAAATGGTACGTTCCTATAAGTTACTCAATATCCCTAGACCCTGATAAGTTTGGGAGAACTTCTCCAATCCTTTGGCTTACTCCAGATAGTGATGAGACTTTTACTCTTCCAGTTAACTGTAGCTGGATAATTTTAAACAATCAACAGTCAGGTGAGGTGTACACTAGTATTTTTCAAATTATGTATAATGTGAAGCAATTTTGGACAGTGACCACATTTTTTCCAAAGCAATCTTTTCTTCCCATATATCTTGGATATTCTGTCATTTTATTGGGTACCTACTCAAAGGTGATGGAATCTTATTGACACAAACTTTCTGTCTCACAAGTACCTAACTATATTATTGCACATTTTAGCATACTATAGAGTAAACTACGACGATTCACTGTGGAACAATATCGCAGCTGCTCTTCTAAAAGACGACTTCGATGGCATCAGCGACTTAAATAGAGCACAAATAGTAGACGATCTCTTCAACTTAGCCAGAGCTGATGAAATTAAGTATTCGAGTGCACTTGCAATACTTGCCTTCTTAGCCAATGACACCTCTTACTTTTCTTGGTATCCAGCATACTCAGGATTTGACTTTCTGTTGATCAGGGTGGGGGAAAGCTCATACCTAGGTCAAAGGATATCGGTACGTCCCAAATAAACCAAGTCGTTGGTCATTTGATTTGATTTGAAAGTTTTATGTACAAATTTTCAGGCTACCATTTTGGAGCTGATGTCAAAATTATACAAATCCGTACCAATTTCCACCCTGGACGAAGATGATCAAATTTATACCCTTAAACAAGTTTTGGCACTCACCTGGGCATGCAGATTGGGTAATGAAGATTGTATTCAGAACACCCAAACGCTATTTAACCAGTATAAAGTAACTAATGAGAGGTGAATATAAAATTATGTAAAGTATTGCATGTTTCGTTCATACTAACTTTATTGTGGAATAGAAAAATGCGAAATCTATTATTTGAAACTATAAATACTCTTGTGTTTTAAGGCCAAACAAAAATTTGCGAAGTATTGTATACTGCAGTGCTCTGAGGCATAGCAATGAAACTTCCGACTGGGATTTTTTGTGGAATGCTTATACTGAATCATTTGATTTGGCCACTGAGCAGGTTACCATTCTTTCAGCTCTTGGGTGTACAAATAATGAAATTATTTTGAAAGAGTAAGTATTTTATAAAACCCATCGCTGTATATTTTAGATGAATAGGAGCCATTTGCATCATCAGGAACTGAATACGCATTTATGATCAATCTAAACCAGAGTATCAGAAATTAATTCCTATTTTGCACCACATTGAATCTGGTGCAGTGATTGTCATAGATAGTGCGCCTTACCATAGTCTGATTGCCTTGAGAATTTTAAGCATGACAAAAGAGTTTCTTTATGTATTAAACAAAATCCGTGTTAAGCGCTTATAAAACACGTTTTTGTTTTCATTTTACAGGTACCTTAACAAGTCTATTTTAGACGGATCTGGCGTCAGGTCTCAGGATGCGCTGTCAGTATTTTCTTCGGTTTACACAGGGAGCTCGGTAGGTGTTGATGTCGCTTTCGAATTCCTCATGGATAATCACGAAACTATTGCATCAAAGTAATCATGAACCTGCATTAAAATGTATCAGTTCTAATAGAGACTTTATTTCAGGTACAATAGCATGAATTCGCTTGGGAACCTTATAAAGGGCATCGCCGAGAGATTTACCACTGAAAGTCAAATCACCAGGGTTAGTAGCTACTTTCAGTCAAAAGTTTTGGTTATTGATGTTTGAAATTCTTCTATAATTGAATATCGATCCATTTTTACATTTATTGTACATTGAAACACATATGAACTTTCTAATCTTAACTAATGTGTAAAGAGACATTAACTATTAGTTAAATATACATATTTTTCAGCTTAGAAACTTTATAGAAACTGGAAACTTACCTGAAGAATTCCAAGTTTCTGCAAATGAAGCCTTGGAAGTTGCGGAAACGAATTTGAAATGGTTAGAGAACTTCAAAGACGATCTGTTTGGATATTATGATAATGGAGGACATATAGTATATTTTTCCACAACCTGGGTTGTTGTTACATTTGTAATTTTTTTGTTGAATAACTAAGTTATCTACTTCTGTAACTGTTGCTTCATGCGTAAATAAAACATATTTTCTTCATAAAAGTCTCTATCTATCAACCTTGATTGTTTACAGTAACACATGATAATTGAATAAGAATTTACTTACTATTAAAATTCATATTGGTTATAGGGAACTAAAAAATAATATAAATTTGGAGGTATAGAAATTGACATTATTATGACACAGTAAATCCTCACCAATTTCAGACAACTCATAGCCAAACAATTTTGGGAACCCATACCATTGGACCATTCTTTTTTCGCCAGCATCTAACTGGAGCAGTTTATTTAAACTTTTTAACAAACACTCTGAAAGATTTGTTAGGCGACATTCCTTTACTTACACTTTGAAGAATGTGGATGCAACATGATGGTGCTCCACCTCACAATACCGCTGAGGTTCGTCAGTTTTTACAAGAAACTTTTCCCAACAAATGAATTGGGCGCGGGGGACCACTGAGTTGGCCTTCAAGGTGTCCAGATATGACAAATTGCGACTTCTTTTTATGAGGATTTATGAAAAGCAAAGTTTACGTTACATCATCAACTACCGCAGAAGTTATGTGGCAGCGCATTATAGTAGCATTTCAAAAAATTACGCCGGACATGCTGACCAATGCTGAACAGTCTTTTAAAAACCGAATTCGTTTGTGTATTAATCAAATTGGAGAACATTTCGGGCAATTTCTGTAAATCGGCGGTCTAAGTATTCTTCTCTTTGTTGTGTTTCGAGTTTCAGTTTGTTTCGTTTTGGGTTTTGTTTAGTTGTTATTAGTGGTTTTCTTTTGTTTGTCAAACCACTTTTTAAACATGCCAGTAAATATTGATACTGTCAGTCCCAAGGCTGAAAGAATGTGAGAGAAAAGTGATTTTGCAAGGCTTTCTTGATGCTGTTACATTGCTACTTTTTCTGGCTTTAGAAAAGAACCTGGAAAACTGTTAAAGATAAGTATGGACAATTTTATACTAGTCGAAAGGGCATTCAGTTTTGCATTCACCCATGACAATTAATATGGGTCATTCCATTCCAACTCGTAAGATTATTAAATGTAGGTCTCAGTATTTCCGAGTCTGAATAACGTACACGTTTTACTCACAGATAACAGGATAGATTAATTTATGTCAAAACGAACTGTGAAAACTGCAGATTTCTAACTCTTACGATTTAGACGCTATCTAGCTTCATTTAGAGAGCTGAAATCGTGATGTTTTTCAAAAACTGAATATCTCGAAAACGGTAAGTTTTAAACACCATGTACATTTAATAAACTCTACCTAATATTAACCAAGGAATTCAAAAATGCAATAATATACAGGGCGTTTCATTTAAAATGACACAGTTATGTAGCGCCCACGCGAAATGGAACATCCTGTAAAGCTAAAAATATTTTCTTTACAGAATTGCAGAATAATCCCTCTTAGGTGGAATACCCCGTATATTTAATTTATGACTTTAATATATTTAGTAAATTTTTTTCTGTGAATACTGTTAATTTTTATATTATGATAACTTATTTTGCTAATAAATGTTATCTTTATTATTTTTTTAATTATTATTGGTTCCATTACTATGCGTAAACCGGTGTATTATTGTTAAAGGAAATTATACCTTAGATAATATGGGATCAAAATTTGTTAAATGAAAAGTTTACGTATTATTATTGAGACATAGGTAGTCTTCAGTACGAAGAAAGTCTGGTCTATTTTTGACTTGAATTTACATTTAGATCTACGCTTTCAGGTTAATAAGTATAATGTTTAATTTTTTTAATGTTCGGGATATTTTTTCTGAACGTACAGTATATTTTTTTACATTATTTGAGTAGGTGGCAAACCATTGATAATTAACACTATATTTAGTATTAATTTAGGTGTATGGTTATATGATAAAACCAAGCTTAAAACTTATCTAATCCCATGATACGGCATTGGAGCCTAATAAAAATATATCTTATTGTATGTTGATACCAATAAAAAAAACAATATTGGAAGTACTGTTTGTCCACTGTAAATGTTGCTGGGTGATGGTACTAGACATTAAACAAAAATTAGTTGAGAGCTGTAGATAACTGAAAAGTACTACCGGATGTGGACTATCTGTAAGTAATCTGAAAATTGCATTGCCTATACTCATAAAAAGTACTATGTAGTATATATATACTATGTAGTATAGTATGTGTACTATATTTATTTAATGTAATCTAAAATAATGCATCCATTCTTTAAAATATCTTGGAAGTTTTCAATAGAACCAAAAAATGTGTTATTTTGCTGCATAAATGATTTGAAATGTCAATTCAGAAATTATATAAATTTCTAATAGTCTATACTTAGATATTAGCATTTCCAGAAATTTGGTTTTCCATTTATACTTTTTGTTTTTCTGATGGTAGCTACATCTGAAGATTTTTCTTATTTGACTGCAAATGAAGCACGACTAGGGATGCCAAAAAATCTCTATTCTTCGATTGAATGGCACACTTGGTGATTTTTTAGCAGCTATTCTATGTACGGAATTCAAATGCAGATTTTTTTTATACCGATTATAATTATAAGATTTCTGCTTCACTCTAAAAATTTAGAAGGCTAGAAAGCTTTGAAGATGCCGAAAGATGAAAAATTATAATCGGTAAATAACAGAATCGCAGTTTTAGCAGACTGTTATTTCCCATATATGTATATATATATTCAGAAGCATCAGTAATTTGCCAATTTTTCATCCTAAGGCATTTTTATTGACACTTACATTTTGTAAATGAAATTTAAAAAATTTAAATTTATATAAAAATATTTTGGATTACTAATTTATAAAATTTAAGGTCAGGAGGCATAAGTGTTTGTGGATTAAAGCACGTCAGATTAAAAAAATGTATTCTCAAGTGTTTTTGGTCATTATCTTTCGACCTTCTTTATAAGCTTAGAAAATGTTTTAATCAGTTATATCTAACGGTTAATACAAATGATAGCAATTTTTTGAGCAAGGATTTTATCGTTATGAAAATATTTTAAAAAGTTGTAGTTCAGGAAAGATGGTATCCTTCCAATGAGATTGAGGCATCATTCCATTGTATTTATCTATCTATTTATCATATACAGTGTTGGTCAGTAGTTTCTTCGAGACATTCCATAAACATACAATGTGCATGGTTTATTTGCAATAATTGATTTTTATTTGTTTGTATACTTTTTAAATTTATTCATCTATTTGTGATTCTACTCTCTGCTTGACTTTGTAAATCATCTCTTATCATTATTACAATATTGATAACAATTGTCTATAATCTCTTTTAAAAACAAATCTATAAATTATAATATAATTATTTAATAACTCTACTTACATCACGAAATAGTGCGATAGATTTCTCAGAAGTGCCTAAGTATTTTTATCAGTTGTATTATCAGTATCAAATATGATCTATATCTTTTACGAATACGGACTACGCCAAACTAGCCAATTCCAACAGGTAATTTCTTGGAGAAGAACGAAAATATTCGAACGATTTAGAATGAATTTTGAAGGACGAGTAGCTCTAAGTTACAAGATATTTCTTATAGCGGTTTTTACAATGACACCACTTCTTAATAGTGTGTGTGTCATTTATTTAACAATTTGCCGATTACTTCTGACTTTAATCATAGTTCATTTGATGAAATCAAACTCTTACTTTCTATTCCAAATTCAAGGTTTAATTCTACATATTCCACCTTCCAACTTTTCTTGTAGTTGTTCAAATAAATGTAATTAATATTATTGTGTGCCATAATCTTATTTTTATTTTTAGATTATTAAAATGGGTCTACATTTTAACCTTGCCTTGATCTGTTTCTTAACCGTGAAAATTGTTGCATCAGAAACAATACCAGAAGACTATAGACTTCCAGACCTATACGACCCGATGTTCTACCAAATTCAGATTGTTATAACTCAGGAAGCTTTTACGGAGGCCAGTAATGAATTCACTGGACAAATACAATCGTTTTTCACATTAAAAAATGAAACGGAATCCATAAGTCTTCACGCTCACCACGATTTCATCAAAATAAACAGAATCCAACTTAACGGCGATGAAGTGGCGAGCGACAATTATAACGTGGACAATGTAACGGATATACTGACAATTAACACGGCTCTGCTAGAAGCCGGATCGATTGGCATACTGCTCATCGAGTATACAGGTGTTTTAAGTACCGCAGATAATTATGGATTTTACAAGAGTAGCTACATTGACGAGGATGGTAACACGAAATATTTGGCAACAACGTTTTTCTCCCCTGTGTACGCTAGGAGAGCGTTCCCTTGCTTCGATGAACCGGCATTGAAAGCTACATTTGACTTCATCTTCACGTTTCCTAGTGACTTAAATATTTTATTCAACACCGACTATTTTTATAGTGAAACCAATACGACCTCTGGGTAAGATATTCCAATAATTTACATTCCAACACAAATGTTCTCTTGCTTCAGCATAAATTAAAACTATATCCATCAACTTCGAGTTACACGTAAGCCATTTTTGACACTTGAAAAACTAATGTAAACACTATCGCAAAAACGTGAATACTAAAATCGGATTTTAGTATTCGGAATTGCCTGAGGCCACGTGGGAAGAGAGCCCAGCGATTTAAGGGTTTTAAATACTACAACTTCAATAATATTTTTCTCGGAAACTATAAGGATTTTACAAAAAAATAATTTTCTTTACTATATTGGCTCCCTTTTTCATGATGCATCTGAACCCAATTTTTTTTTGGATAAGTTGTGAGTCACCCTGAGGTAATAGTAATCAATTTTAAGAAATAACTCTTATAATTAAAACAGAAAATTAATTTTGTTTCCTGAAATATTTCTTAAGGTTCTATCAATCGAACATTAGACAGACAGACATGGTTTTTTTCACACGAAGTGTCTATATGTAAAATTTGAATTAAATCCAATAAGCTCCATTAAAATTAGGGAAGTTTCAATTATTGGAAAGGAAAGGAAGATACGTAGAACCCTTAAAAATCATTTCAGAAAAAATCTTCGCTTCGCTTCGCTTTTTTGGTTATTTCATAAAAAAATAGTCTTCAAAGTTTTTGGTACGGTCGTTGTTTCACCCTGTATAGCCGTATTTTCCATTGCTCCATAATTGATTAAATACTGCATTGTTTGTTGCTCTTGCTTTATAAAAAGTTTTGGCACACCCTTTTCAAATTGTCGGTATTCTATTGTCTCTACATACATAAATAAAATCTAATCAAGTTTATTTAAAGCTTCAATTGCCAGAAAAACCATCTCACAGTAGACTGAATAGTATTTCGAGTAGAAGCTGGTAGTTCCAGTAAAGCGTTAGGAGCAGTGTTATAAAAGAATCATGATTTCTCTATGATAATAATAATGCATTTATGCATTTATTATAATAATGCATTTATTGCCCAACGGTACAAATGTTCCAATTACAGGACAAACAAATTAGACATTAAAATATAGACATTCAACATAAAAAGAATCATAATTCTAAATAAATACACAGATCTAGTTTCTACAAAATCAGTAAATTAAAAAATTCAATTGCTACAGATAACAACAAATTGGTAGTGATTTATATCACATTCCATATATATTAAATTATAATTATTTGCTATAATATAAATGGGAGATTTAAGAAGTATGTTGGTTTTAGCATTCCGACAATAGAACATGCAATCAGCACGAGACCAATGTCTAGGAACTCCTATATTGAAGAACCCAGTAGATATGCTAAATCAACACTGGCATAAAAAAGTTTAAATAAGAAACATAAACTGTTGAGTATTCTTCTAGTCTGTAAATATTTTATTTCGAATCCATCTGAAAGCAGCCTATGTTCACATTCTCTATTTGGATAATAACAAACAATTCGGAACCTTAAAAATTTAAGAAAACGTGTTGAACTTTTTCAAGCTGGTTCAACGTCGTTTTATTAAATTTTTAAGCTTTCGAATTGATGGTTATTATCCAAATAGAGGATGTCAACATAGGCTGCTGTTAGATCGATTTAAAATGCAGTCTTCGCAGACTAGAACAATACTTAATAATCGCTCTAATGATGCTCTAATTCCTCCATTGATTTGGTTTTCATTTCGCTAATATTGTCATAATTGCAGGTATTCCAAAAAAGAAGCTCAATTAGTTTGGTTCCCATAATTTCCTTCATTGAATCAATGAAAAAAAGCTAGTATTTTTTGACTGTTACATCCTAACAAATCAATCTTAGTTCCTATTAATACTAATAACCGCGTTTCACATTCTATTTTTGAACAATCGTATCTGGGTATCGTTTTGGGAAAGATGTTTTCCTTGTACTTATTTTTGTTTATACTGAACAAGGAAATCACTTCTCGTGAACACTCTATTCAATGCAAGCTTTCCAAATACCTACATTTTAGTTATGTTTGTACTTCTATACTCTCTTAAATCTTCAGATTAAAAACCATCTCCTTCAATACCACACCCAGAATGTCGACGTTCTTACTGGCTTTCGTCCTATCAGACTTTACTTGTACCACTGGAGTTCCCGCCGCTAGTGTTCCACTGGAAGTTTGTTCAAGGAATGCAACAGTAGCCTCCAGGCAACTGGCCAGTGAAATTGGAGCATCTTTGCTGGAGAGCCTCAGTAATTATATAGGTTTCAGCTACAATATGGCCATGCAAAAACTGCATCAAGTAGCAATCCCCGACTTCGCTGCTAATGCTATGGAAAACTGGGGACTGATCACGTACAGGTAAAAATAACCTTCAGAAGGACCTTTTATACCATTATAAATATTATAATATCTGTTACAGAGAAACTGCTTTGCTGTGGGATGAAACTGAATCTTCCAATTACTATAAACAGCGTGTTATTACTGTCATGGCTCACGAATTGGCTCACCAGTGGTTTGGAAACTTGGTTACTTTGTACTGGTGGTCTGCTATATTTTTGAAGGAGGGTTTTGCTACCTATTTTCAGTATCACACGCCACACGAGGTAAGTAATTTTTGTAATAAAAAAATATGGTAGTTTTTTGAGGCCCTGATATACTGATTAACGTCAGTAGACGAATATCAAGATAACCGCGTCAATTTACTACACTTATATAAAAATTGGTTAATAGGTAGTAAAATGAATAATCGCTTTAACACAATTGATTATGGGATTATTTGAATTATTGGTAATCTTACTGATTAAATATTGGTAATAATATATTATTTTAAATATCCGGATATAATTTATTATAGACAGTATTTTTCCATTTTTTATATACAGAGGGATTCCTTAACAATGGAAAAACCGAAAGTTGAAGATATTACACGTGAAATGGTGACCGCTGGCGCAAACATGCCTTATCCGAAAGTTGATAGTTTCGGAGATACAGGGTGTTGAAAGTTAAAATTTTAAATAGTTTAGTTTAGTTTAGTTTAGTTTAGTTTAAATAGTTAGTTGAAATTGATCTTGGACAGTTATCTAAAGATGTACAGTGTGGCGTCCTACACGGACCAATCCTTGGTCCCCTGCTATTTAATATTTATACTTCCAATTTAACTAGCTGTATAAAGGAATGTGTTGTAAATTTCTATATGGATGATTTTTTAATTGTTCGGCTCCTGTTTGCAATGCTAACTAAAATAAACCAATTATTGCATGTATGTACATACCACGTATCCAAAAAAATCTTGTGAGTTTAATTTTATACTTTTCCAAAAAAACATCTGTTGAGTTAACCATTGTTTGACCTATAGCTTGCCTTGTATACTTAATATTTACACCTCGATGTCCAAAACAAGACTGGCGTGTTGACTGAGAACAATGTGGGGACTATCATAGTATGACTTCCTATTTAAGTTAACTGCCATAGCTGTTGGTATATCATAAGCTTTGGTTTAACTAGATTTTCCTTCAACGAAAGTGAAAACAAATCTATTATTTTCAGGTAATTCCTGCCTGGGAACTTGACAAACAGTTCGTGATTGAGCAGCAGCATTCTGCTCTATTACGAGACGCGTTGGAAAATGCACACGCTCTCCATGCTGACGTATTTACCCCAGCCGAAATCACCGCTAGGTTTAGCACAATATCTTACAATAAAGGTAAATGAAAATTATTTTATAAATATTTATTAATAAGTAGCTATGGCTTTCAAATGATCTTGGAAACGAAAGAACAACTCAATCCAATCTCCGAACTTAAAATTTCCCGGTCTTTCAGAATCCGGAGCTAGAAATTCCTTCAAATAAACTTAAAAATCAGCAACGTATCCGAGCGTAGAATTTCTTACTTTTTCAGAATCCGGGGACTAAAATTGTATCCATCAAAAAAAAAGAGCTGACTTTAAAAAATTATTTTGAACATGAGCTAACTTTGTCAAACGAGCACCGGTTTCAGATTCAGCGGCCCTAAAAATGTATGGGTATGGTTTTCTAGTCGATCCAAAAATGTTTTTCTCGAAATATTTATGTCACTGTAAATAATGAGTATTTATTATTATAATTTTTTTTAGGTGCCTGCATTCTGAGAATGGTGCAGCATTTTATGGGCGAGGACCATTTTAAAGAGGGGATTCAAAATTATACTGCAACACAGTAAGTAAAAGAGTAATTAGTTTTTATTTAAGAGAGTTAGAAACTTTGGAATGTGAAATTCATGATATTGCAGTAAAAATGTGCTACTAACATACATAGCCTTCATAACAACCCTTGTAGCATTGTTGCCATCATTTTCGGAACGCATAACATCTGCCGAAGTTTGTGAAGAATTTGTACAAGTTACGAATGTGTCTTCTTGTAAGGAACAGCTATATTTTCCTTGGATTTTCCTTGCAATATCAAATTTGTTAGATATAGACTTTTCAACATAACTTTCTGCTACAGAGGAGTTCTTCCATCCACCATGCCATGCCGTTTGATGGTTGTCAAGATCAGCACCTTTTTTGACCGATAACTTTGGTGAAGTGCGCCTCATACAGTATATGCTTCTGGATTTGCGATATTCAGGAATGAAACAACTATTGAGGGTACCTTCGACAATGTGTTGATTCCAACAGGTTGAGAAGTACATTTTTGATTTATGTATCTTAATGAATCTGTCTTGTGTTAGGCCAATTGGGCTCAGAGAAATATATTTTCTGCATATTTCAACAGCATTCACTCAAAATCCTTCTTCCATAATTGTAAATTTTCTTGAAATTCCCGTCTTGGTGTCAGGTATTGAAACAAGTAGGTAACTGCCAACGTCGTGTACGTTACTAATTTTTAAATTTGCCAATTCGCAGCATCGACAGGCACCAGAAACCCACATTATTAGTACAACTTGAAATAAGTTATACCTGTAAAACATGTAAAAAGTAAAGAGATATTACCTTAATCATTAATCATTCTTTATCGGAAGCCCCAGTCAAAAATTCTTCAATATGTGCTCTTTCCAATACTGCAGCTTTTTTCCTTTGTATCCTCTCGATTCACTCTTTAAATAAGCAGTAAGCTTGTTATGTTTTCCAATATCTACATTTTTGTAGACATTTATAGTACCCTTCAACATCGAATACTTCGACCACATAGATGAAATTGCACATTTTTTATTCAAATTTAAAAAATAAGATAGCATAGCATGGCTTCTTCATTTATTGTCATAACTCTCCGTTTTTCCATCCATTCCTTAAGTTAGGCGAACACTTTTTCGTAACATTCCCTGGATTTCGCTGGTAATAAATGGAAAATTGCTTCTTGAGCTTCTTTAAAAATGGCCACAGGAACACAATTACTTTTTTGCATTTTTACCAAATTCAGATAGAACTGTTTATTAAATAATTGATAATAAACAACGTACCATAGCAACCAAAAGTTGTGCGAATATTTTTTTATTAAATTCCAATAATTCTGACTCCACAAATATGATTGTGTTGTGATTATGGATAAAACGTTGTATTGCATTCGTGTTTTAATTGCGTTTTATCCACTTAAGAATATTAAACATTTTTGCGTAGGTAAAATGCTACTTAAAACACTTATACAATAAGTGACTATTATTACTAATAGTCACGTCATGAAAAGATCTGGGTCTCAATATTGCCTACTGATATATCGATTAAATATTCTTTTTTTTTATTTAGCGAATACGCCAGTGTAGAACCCGATGATGTTTGGGTGGCTTTGAGCAGCAGCGTGCTTGAATCGGTGTCATATTTACCAGACGATTTTACCATTGTCATGGAAAACTGGATTACTCAACCTGGATACCCGGTACTTTACGTCAGTGTAAATGAAAGAACTGTCACTATATCCCAGGTAATACTATACCATAACTAAGTGAAAATGTGAAAGTTGGAAGACATGCTAAATAATAATTCGTTCCATAGCTACAGGCCAAAAAAAATAAGTTTGCGGTTGAGAGAGATATGTGAATGATGGAGTGAAAATGTATTTGGCAAGAGCGAGAGAAATAGTATGAGTGAGAAATGCAGTGCCCAACTCATCCGCAAGCTTATTCCAGTTGATCTGTATTAAATTTGGATTACATAGTATTTATTTATTGCTAAGTATTTATTTCATTTTGGGGAAAGATAAAACTAATAAATAATCATATATGTTACAGAAAAGGTTTCTTTTCTCTGGAGAAGATACTACATCAAAATGGTACGTTCCGATAAGCTACTCCATATCCCTAGACCCTGATAAGTTTGGGAGGACTTCCCCAATCCTTTGGCTTACCCCAGACAGTGACGAGACCTTTACTCTTCCAGTTAACTGCAGTTGGATAATTTTAAATAATAAACAGTCAGGTAAACTATGAACAATAAAGGTGTTCTTATATTTTTGGAATAATCCTTAGAAGTACACAGATTAAAACATTTTTTCCATGGGAGTGTTTACTTGCTTTACTAATAATATTTTGTTTTTAGCTTACTACAGGGTGAACTACGATGATGGTTTGTGGGACAACATTGCAACAGCCCTACTCAGCTACAACTTCGATGGTATTACCGACTTAAATAGAGCACAGATAGTTGACGATCTCTTCAATTTAGCCAGGGCGAGTTATGTCAATTACGCGAGGGTTCTCGACACACTCGCATTTTTAACCAACGATATTTCTTACTTTTCCTGGTATTCTGCGTTTTCCGGCTTTGACTTTTTACTCACGAGGGTGGGAGAAGACTCGTTCTTAGGCCGGTCGATTTCGGTAGGTTTACTGAAATTCAAAATTAAAATACAAAAAGAAAACAATAGATATACAGGGCGTCCCATTTTAAAGAAACAGGTTCATTTTTACCTCTGAATAGTTTTTTAAGGAACTTCTTTGACAACATTTTCTAAGGCTACAATTTTTTTCTGACAGAAATGTAGAAAAGATGTTGCATTTTGGAGATATAGGTATTCTGATAAGTTTGAACAGACACTGCCATTATCCTTCGAAATGTCAAAACTAATCCTTCTGCACTGTTTTTACTCGAGTTTCTTTTTTTTAAGGCTACCGTTTTGAATTCGATGTTTGCACTGTACAGTTCCGTTCCTATCGCCGTGCTAGACGAAGACGATCAAATATACACGCTTAAGCAAGTTTTAGCGTATTCATGGGCATGCAGGCTAGGTAGCCAAGACTGCATCCAGCAGTTACAAACGTTATTCAGCCAGTACAGATCATCTGGCGTCAGGTACGATTTTATAAATCACTTAACTTAGATGCGCATCTCTGGATAGCAAAATATTTTTTATCCCTTGGATAAAAATAAACAGATTTAGGTCGAGTTACGTATTCAAATGTCAACGCCTACTGGATATAGGTCTCATTAGGTAAGTACATTAGAAAATAAATTTGCAAAAAGATCAAGTTAGAGTAGAATGCATCCAAAAACACAGCTCACTGTCTGTAACCGACAACAGCAGTAGATAATTTAAACGTATTCTGCGTAAACCTGCGTAATCAGAGTTTGACAGAAATATCTTAAAAAGCGATGAGTTAGCTTAAAAAAATGAGATAAAATAAAATTGTACTAGGTGCCTGGATCTAAATTGGTTTATTTTTGTCCAAGGATAATTGAAAGTATTTCACTAAATGTCTACTTCACTTTTAGCCATCTAACAATAAACAATAAAATGTTATCTATATATTTCGACTATAAAACAAGATTAACAAAAGTTTCAACAGTTTCCGCACTTGTTGTCAGGTCGTCGACTTTGATTTCTTGACGTTTCGACAGACATATCCCTCTTTTCTTCAGAAGGAACTCTTAAACTGGAGATTAAGTCCTCTGGCCGGTATTTATACTTGTTGTGTGCACAGCAGTTTCGGAGAACGCTTCCATATACTTGTACATAGATGTTCTCGTCAAGAGGAAACTGGATGACATCCATTGCGTTTACAGAAACCTAATCTCCAGTTTTAGAGTTCCGATGATGAGAGCGATATGTATCTCGAAACCTTAGCAAATCTAAATCGACGACGTGGAAATTGTTCAACCATTGTCGAAGTAATCATGTTTCCAGGCCTAACAAAAATTTGAGAAGCATCGTTTACTGCAATGCCTTGCGGTACACCAGCGACAGCTCTGACTGGAATTTCTTATGGGAAGCATATACCAATTCCAATGATTTGGCTACCGAACAAATTACCATCCTGTCAGCATTAGGATGTTCAAGGGACGAAGACATACTGAGGGAGTAAGTTGGACATTTTTAATTATTCACCAAAAATATTAAAACATATATTTTTGAGAAAAGCTTAAATCAAGCATAAAGCACGCCTTTGGTGCCCGGCCAATTATAACAGCTCTACTCACATATCATGTTTCATTTATTGTTTTTTGGATTATACATAGGTAATTCAAAGATTGCGATAAACTGTGATATTCCTAATTACGAATTAATAGGAGTATATTTAAATTAAACTTATTGGCAATAGGATTAAGTTATTACCGGACAATATTGTTTTTTTATTGGTGCCTGTCCAAATCTAATCAGCAATTTCGTAGGATTATGTTTTAACACGAAATTAGGATAAATATATGAGTTATATATTCACAGATGTGGTTATATGTGACAATCGTAAAATTATTTACTTCTTTCCTCGTTTTACTCATTCTTTGCCAGACTCTGATATTATGGCGCCTTTCTGCAAAACACCCAGTACATTAATATGAATTTGTCAGGTATCTTAGCAAGTCTATTACTGACGGATCTGGTATAAGGACTCAAGACTCCCTGTCAGTATTTTCCTCAGTCTACACAGGCAGCCCAAAAGGTATCGATGTGGCGTTGGATTTCCTCATAGAAAATTTTGAAGTCATAGCAGCAAGGTAAATCCCTTTCAGGCAAACTTAAATGAGTTTCTATCGAATACTCTTTGTAGATATACCAGCATGAATTCGTTGGGGAACCTCATAAGAGGCATCGCAGAGAGATTCACAACTGAGAGTCAGGTTGCCAAAGTGAGTAAAATAATTTTATTGTGTATAAAATTACATTGTGTACGATGTAGAATGCTTGAGATTGAATTTTTTGGCATTGGTGTAAAAAAAATAAATCAAATTTTCAGTCTGTTAGTACGACACCGCAACTGCTTTGTTCCGCAACTCATAGATCCAGATTTCAATGCAAGCTAATATTTTAGTTTTATTTGCACTTATTTATTTATTTATTTATTTAGAAATTACAATATCCAACGGGACAAAGTCCCAATTACAGAATAAGGTAAAACAGAAAACCTTAACTAAATTAAAAAAAGACAACTATAAATATAATCTAATTGTTTAAAAATAAAAAAAAGAGTGTTAACTTTAAAAATTTACTGGGGCCGTCCTAATCAACAGATTTCAATTTATCAAAAACCATTTGAAAGGTTGAGCGGTCTTTTTATGTGAAAAAATTTTCAAGCGTCTAGTTGGTTTATTTGAGGCTGTGCAACATTTTAAAAATTCGAAAATTTTTTCAAAATTTTTTTCAAAAAATTATTTTGCGAAAACAGTCCAACCTATTTTAATGAAATTTGGTGTATTGTTTTATTTTACTCTAAAGTTTATTTTATCAAAATTAGAATGCACTCGGAGCAATTAAAATATTTAAAAAAAAAATATCCAAAAAACTTAATAATTTTACTATTTTGCAACATCGGTAATAAATTTAAACATTTTAAAACTTACAGTATATTGTGCAAAATTCAATTCTAAAACTGTTTTTCCTCTTCAATATTCTTCCAAAATGCTTAGGTTTCAAGATATAAGTAAAAAACTCAGATAAAATAGACATTTTTAAAAATTTTTTTAAACATTTTTGCAATTTTGAAAATGTTCCGGACCTCGCCCAGATCTAGGGATCTACACTTTTATTATGTGAGCTGTACTGGGGCTTGATTTTTGAAAACAGGAGAATTAGTTCATTAGAGAAAATTACGTCATTTTCTCTTAACACACAGATAATGCGATTTTTGAAATTTTCTTGTGGAATATTTTCTCTAGATATCAAGAGAAATAATTCCACAGGGTTTTGTCGGGGGAATTGGCGTTTTCTCCGAATAGTTTGAATCCAAATGTCATCTCATGCTCATGCGCGAATTGTCACTTCATTCATTCGCTGTTCGAAGGTGCGTAATCATTTGAAATTTGTAATGGATCCAAATAATTTATTATTAATTCTAAATATAATGAATAATTTGCAAGCTGCAGAAATTGTAAACCATCCGCGACAACATTAATTAAACCATTTAAAGTTTCAGCAATATCTGACCACTGTTTTTGGGCCTTTTTGTGAGTGAAAGTAGAAGAAAACTTTCATTTTAAAAAGTTCTTCGTTGTTTCTAAGCATATTAATTTCTTTTTTGCGCTTTCGACGTGAACGAACGCTTCATCATAATTATAATAATATTAAATTTTTTGTGTTTTCAAATATACTTCTATTCAAATTGAAGTTATATTAAATTACTACGAATATCATGGAGATGTCTAATCTCCCTGACGAATATAATGACATTTACAAAACAAACTTCAAAATCAAATCAAGTGACTAAACATCAGGGTCGCCAATAATGGCACTGAAATATTGAAGAAAACTCTGCCCGCTGATTGGTCAGTTGCAAATATATCCTCGACATACGGCATAAATTAAATTCTCTAGAGAATTGGATTCCTTCAACGTTCAAAAATAAGTGTTTAAGTTTTTAAGAGAAATTTGTCAGGTGAATTTTTTCTCTGGAGAATCAGTTCTCCTGTTTTCAAAAATCAAGCCCCTGACGAATATAATACATTTACAAAACAAACTTCAAAATCAAATCAAGTGACTAAACATCAGGGTCGCCAATAATGGCACTGAAATATTGAAGAAAACTCTGCCCACTGATTGGTCAGTTGCAAATATATCCTCGACATACAGCATAAATTACATACTCTAGAGAATTGGATTCCTTCAACGTTCAAAAATAAGTATTTCAGTTTTTAAGAGAAATTTGTCAGGTGCATTTTTTCTCTGGAGAATCAGTTCTCATGTTTTCAAAAATCAAACCCCTGGTCTATTTGTAATTCAGCTATTTTTTATGTTTACTTAGTTAAATCATTAGTCCAAGTCTCGTAAATCTTCAACAAATATCTTTTGAATAGATGCCTGAAAGAAATACATACGGCCTCGAAGTTATATGTACTTAAAATACACCTTACATGAATGTCGATTAAAAAGTACCTTTATTCATTTATGTCAATTTCTACTTGTCAAATAAATGATGCAAATTGCTGTTTTATAAAAAAGTAAGAGTTAAACCACTATTTAAATAATCAAAAAATGTTAACTACGTATTTGTTCTATTTACTGTATTATCTATCCTACACAAATGGCAATAAATCTAGATAAATTAATTCATATTTTCAAATGATCTGGTACAGTATTAAAATAAACTTCTACATATATTTCATTGTTAAAAATGTTTGCTTAATCACTGTATTATTAGGTTCAATTAGAATTTCAATATAGAAATATTTCATAGGAGTCAAGTACATAGATGTTTATCAGCAACACATCAGATAGTACCTAATGTAAACTTAAATTTAAGTGATTTCCATGAAAAGCAATTATAGCGATTCTACAGGGCGAGAAAAAATTAGTGAGGTGATTCCTCATCGACATTTAATATATTTTTTCATGCAAATTAACATATTTTTTCATGTCGTCTCTGATTATTATCGGTTTTCAACGTTATAAAAAAAGTTACAAAAATGAAGTTATGTACTTCTACTTGATAATTTCTTGACCTTTTTCTATTGCCAATATGGCCCCTTAAAAATATATTTCAGATATCCTAATTTACTAAAAACAAGTATCTCGTTTTTCGCCGAGATATAATTAAAATAAGTTTTCCTCGTCTAATCAAAACTTCCAACAAATATTTGTAGTAAAATTTGCACCATTTACTTCATGTTGCAGTTAAGAAGCTTTATAGAAACTGAGAATCTCCCCGAAGCATTCCAAGTAGCAGCGAATGAAGCTCTGGAGACTGCAAATACAAACTTGATATGGTTGGAAACATTTAGGGATGACCTGCTTCAATACTACGATAATGGAGGGTACAGGACTGTAGGAGTGTCATTTTGGATTTTAGTTATATTTGTACTTCTGTTGTCTAACAGCGTGTAAATTATATTAATATATTCTAATTTTATTATATATTTTGTTTCAATTAAACATTATATTTATGAAAGGCATTTTTACTTATCCAAGAAAGTTGTGTTTTCTTTTGATGTAAGATTAGAGCAGCAGTTAAAATATTGTCCTTGGCGTTATCAGTGATATTACTGACTTTTGGTATTGTCTTCTCAAAATGTTATTCATCAGTTTTATATTCTAATTCTAAGAAACAAAAATGAAATGCAGGAACATATTAGTTAACATATCCTGGCTGATTTCCGTGTTAATCTTTCTCCAATGTAATCAATAAACTGTTACTATTTTTGTTAAATCATTTTGCCACACTAAAAAGAAAGAAGAGACAGCTGCTTGGGTCAAAAGTGTCAGTCAAGTTGTTGATTTTATAAATTTAGTTTTGCCTAACTAGAAATACCCCAATAGGGACAGTAAATAATTCTCGATTCCACAATAAGCACCACTACACACTATAAAGATTCAGTTTCGAAAATCTTCCTGCTTCGTTCCCAAAACTCAAATGAACTTAAATTGCAAACTCGTTCTTTATGTTTACTACATCTATAACCACACTTTTGATGGCACAGAAAACCATAATTTTATTGCGACATATCTGCAATTAATAACAATTTATGATAGTTCAAATAAACCAATTAGTCACCGATAAAGTATTCCACTTGCTACATTTGTTTTTATGTATATGTCTATGCCATCATGTTGAGTGATGACAGCATTAGATTTAGCTTTACCAGGAAGAATGATGTACACGAACCACAGATAACGTCACGTCACGAGTAATAAATAATATTAACGTTACTTTGTAAAATAGGTTTAACGGAACATCAATCTACAAAAAAATCGGCGGTGGATGATTTCTATATCCATATTTCAACAAATTGGCAATAAAAATTGACATAATTAAAATCAATATCGATAAATTTGTCAATTGGTCGAATCCATATGTATTTGAAATTAAGAAAAACTTGATAAGTTAAAATTTATGTCTTTAATGAAGTTGCACAAATGCTACTAAATAGAAGTTCGGAAAATTTAGTGACGTAGAAATATTTTCATTGTTATTCACCGAAAAATATATGCCAGTGTTTCATGTAAAAAATATTGTTTTTTCAATTTCCGATATTCATTTATTTATCTTAGTAAATTCAGAAAGAAGTACTGAAAAGCCTAAAACTTTCTGTATACAATTTTTCTTTTTATCTATCTTGTAAGGTCAAAATATAAATGGAGTTCACTTTTTTCACTTTTTCTTAAACATCGTATTCATTAATCAAAATGTAATAGTTTTCTCAGTTACCATATTTCGTTATAAGCATCTTATATTTTCAGTCAATGTGGCTTCAACTCAACTCGTCTGTTTGTGACTTATCAATATTCAAAGATATGCACCAAATCTGCTACTGATATTTCAATCATCGTTATCTTCAACAGAATACTCTGTAGAAGTTTGACAGTCGAATTAAGCGACACCCTGTACATTCTTGTTTGTGTTCTGCAATTTAGTATTCAACGCAATTAGGTATGCTGTTTGACTCATTGCCTGATTGTATTAACTCAAAAATATAGAACTCCAACTGTTTAAATGGTGATAATTATCTCATAACAAAATTTTTGACTAAGTGATAATATTGGGAAGATAAGGAACAATGGTAAATAATTTTTAAAATATTAATTTTGTTATATTGTCAATAAATTTTGAAAGGCTTAGGGAGGATTTAACTAATAGGTAAATTAGTGGTAAAGATAAGATTACTGAAGTATTAAATATTGGTAAGAGCTGCAGACACTACTAGTGTTACCGCCATTGTTTTCTTAGGTGAGTGGTTTGTTATTTATTATTATCGCATTTGTCTCTATTTCCACTTTGTGGTGGTATATATAATAAATTGACATCAGCTGAAGAAGAGTGAATGAATATGGGAAATTCTAAGAGAATCAAACCTTAAATTATATTAAATCCAAAACGATCACAAAAATTTTATTGAAGCTCAGTTTACCACTGTTTGTTTCACATTTTCATTAGGAATATTGCAATCTTTCTGGCATAAATGAAATTGACTAACAATAAGTAGAAATAATGATAAAACACAGAATGTAAATTTACTGCTAGATTCAAATATTTCATTGTATATAATATTTATTTAAGGAAAAGAAGGTTGTTGGAATAAATGAAAATAGTTTTACTTTTGCTCTTTTTTTAATTATTTGTTTTTAAACATCACTTTTTTCGTCATTTCTACCAGCTGTCGAATTAGCTAGAAAATTGACTGTAGAATAAATATAATTATTACACGGTTCTTAAAATGACGTGTCAATGAATAAATGTGTGACATATTGGGATTTTCCGCCTATCGACATTAAAGGCATAGTTTTATTGACAGGTGTCAGTCACTAAAGTGTCACATTTACTACCGAGGCTTTAGAATCATTTTTACTATAGCTAAATTAAAAATTAAAATTTGTTCTTTAACAAAAGTAATTTTATTTATTCTAAACATTTACAGTGAAATTATAACAGCCCGTAAGGGATATTCCTTGTCCTGTTTGTTCTGAAACATTTACTTCGTCTATGTAGGTTGAAGTGTTTTCACTAGTAGATAGTTTATGAACTACTGAATCCTCTAAAGTAGTTGTATGGGCTCATCAATGTAGCCTTCAGCTACCCTTGAAGTTTTCCATCCACCAAGTTGTGATATCTGCTTCTAATTTGATTAATAATGTAACTGATGTTCTGCGGAAACCATGTCCGGTATATTCGTGAGCATCCTTCAATTTTAAAAACGCAGCAACTTGTTTTGGTATTTTCCCAAATGTATGAATTCCTTTACCACTTGAATATTTAAAAAATCTTTTACTATCTATCTGGGTAGGTCTTAACGGTACTATTATGTCCGATATATGTCTAAATATTCGCTTACAATAAAGGAGCATTTATTCTTTATTTTTGTAATTGGTAAAGTGATTAGCAATCTATTGCCCATATCCTCAATATTTCCATTTTTTATTTGCAGTAGTTCGTAATATCGACACATGCCTCAGATATTGCAAAAATGATTGCCACCTGAAATAATAATAGTCAGTATTCTTAGTTTACAAAAATATTAATTACCTTTGTAATTAAGTACGTATCATCAGGGGCTTCAATAATCAATACATTATTTATGTGTTTGCTGATATATCTTCTTCGATTTTTCTGATAATAAATTACAATCTATTTGCTTTGTTGATTCAATAACTCCTGGCAGAGTTAATGTGAATTCTTAAGTTATTTACTTCGCCTTTCTGTTATTCATTTATTTTCCTTTTATGACAATACAGTTATTGTATAGGAATGGTCATAAAACCTGAATTGGTGCAAGAGTACCTACGATTTAATTATTTTTTAAATATGTATTTCTACAGCAGTAAAATATTGTTGTATTATATTGTTGTTGCAATATTTGCTTGCAGAAAAAAATTGTAAATAAAGCCTAAAATTACTATTTTCAGCTCTTGAAATAATTACAGCGTAAACAATTGTAACTAGTAGATTCATCTGGACCGCCTTAATCTTACCGCTTAAGATCATGACTGAAAACCCAATAAAAATGACTAATTCTGTTATTACTGACAAATGCAATAAAATTTGGGCTCTACAATAAGACTCGTTAAGTTCATCTTATGCTGATATTATTTATGGGCTCGTTTTCTAGAGATTAAAGACAAAAGATTACGCACGATGCCTTGAAATGGGTAACTGTAGTATAAATATCACTGAAATATTTAAGTGTCAAATAAAAGTCTGATCTCTAATCTTAGTACAGTCGTGCACTTGAAATAGCGCGAGATAAAGTACATTTGGACACAATTATGAGTTAATTTGTTTATCTTTGCTAAATTAAAACATTTTGAAACCGATTTGAAAATATTTTTATATCTGTAGTGAGTGCAAAGCGTTCTAACGGGGTTGAAATCACTTGAAGAGTAAATCAAAAAGTTTAAGCTCATTTAGCTAGAGTTGCTAACAAGATGTTTTAATGAAACTATTTTGTTAACAGCTGGTATCTGGTATTAAATGTTATAATTTGTTGGTATACCATATTGTAGTGTTACCTATGCCCTTTACAGGTACCAAAAATCCGCTTGATATCACGCTCCTGAAAAGAGTTACTAGCATCTCCGCCAACCCATGCATCTATCAAATTTTTTCTTTAAATATTAATATCTCAAAATTTATAACTCCTAGGTATAGGGAATATTTCACTTATTTACTAACACCCTGTATAATTGAAATACCTATATCTTTCAAGGTGGGAATCATATATCGTTACAGCTGCTGAGTCATGATTTAGTTGACTTCAACGATAATGTCTGCCTATTTATACATTTATACTCTTCAGTAAACTGACAATATTATCTGCGATAAGAAAATACCTGAGTGATAGGTATATATTCTAGTCTAAATGAATAAATAAATAACTATAAACTAATTCATCATAGTAAAGATGTAATTCTATATCCCAGTATGATTAAACAAGTCAATTACAAAAAGCTAGCGAAGAAAACAATGTGACCTATTCCTTTTTCAGAAAACAGAATGGCGCAAAATCTCCTCATCATCGGGCTGCTTCTAGCAGCTTGTATATCCAACGTACAATTACAAACTACCGATGAAATAGAGTGGAGGCTGCCAACCATCATTCGCCCATCTAGGTATCGACTCCACATAGATGTGCCGGAAGCTGCCCTGTCCCCAGAGAGCAACGAATATGGTGGACATAGTGTCATGCTGTTTACGACATTAGAACCGACAACTACGATAAAGCTTCATTCTTCTTACGACCACATCAGATTAAATTTGGTGACGATAGAAAATACTGACGTCAATGAGACGAATTATTCTGTGAACAATATTACGGACATCCTGACTATAACGTCGCCATTTCGTAAGATTTTTTTCTATATTAATCTAGATATACGGGGTGTTCCAGCTAAGAGGGATTCTTTTGTAACTCTGTAACTGTAGAATTGATAAAACAATTGTTTCAATAAAAGTTGTCTGAAATCAGGGTGTTCCATTTAAAATAACAAAGTTATGTAGCGCCCACACGAATAGAAGCTGTGAAGGTAAAAATATTTTATCAAAACCATTTTTTAATAAATTTTTACAATTGCAGTTACAGAAGAATCTCTCTTAGTTGGAACACTCTGTATAGTGGAATTGCAGAACTGTCATTTTTTAAATCTGAAAATCTTACAAAGATTTTCGTTAATATTTTAGTTTTATTTCTAACTTTCTGGAGTTTTATACATACGTTATTGATGGCCAATATCGATTATATAAAATATTATAAATGAACACTTTTATTTCAGATTATATTGGGCTTGTGCATAAATTCGTAGTTTTTTTCTTGGATTTAACGTTGATTTCATTTTAATAAATAAAATACATTAATTACTCGAGGATATATACTCCTCCATCGTTTACGACTGTTTCCCAATGGTTTGGCATTTATTTTATGCCTAAAGAAACTATGGAGTTTGGAAATGAAGAATTTATCAAGCTAACTTTGAAGGAGTTTTGTTGATGGTTGTTGATAGAGAGCGGATTGAACAAAATCAGAAGAATACGGTGGATATGGAATAATATACCAACTGAGATCATGCTTAAGCTGCAAAATCACTCGATGATCCTTACAGACTTTTTATTTATTGAAATGCACTTCAAGATGATGAGTTGCTGGTGCTAGACCTCAGCAGTGCTGATTATGTGTTTGGACTAAGGATTTTTGTTAGGACTAGATTATTTTTGTTCTTGGTGTTGATGTAAAGTTGGTTGGAGTATATTTCATCAGCATTAAGAATCTAGCATAAAAACACAAACTAAGCACACATATATTGATTCTTCTTGTCTTCTCTCAAAATATGAGGCACCCATACATAATTTTGAACTTTGTTTATGTAATCCAAATGTACAAAGGTCGATTGGTCACACTCCAATTACCGGATTGCCGAAAATCATCATCAGCATTTAAATGACCTTCATCAAAGTCATCTTGGTCTTCCTGAATCGTTCATATTAAAATGCCTCAAACATGGAGTTGAATTAACTCCTCAATTGAACTGGAACAAAAGGATATAATGGGAATACCCGTTGATTTGTACTTGGCATACCATCTTCTACTTTCCTACAAGTTCGAAGACTATTGAATGAAACAGCAGCATAACATTAAAACAACCTCGATATACCTATCTTTTATAGTCGATTTCCAAGGCATTCTTGTCGTAGAAATAAAAAACGCTACGAATTTATTCATCATCCTAATAATTATCACATTAGTGATATTTAAAGATTCACGACTTTGTTAGTCATTTTCATTTTCTTATATTCGTTTTCTCTTTCACAAAAGTCGGTAATGGATTTTACTCCAAGACATCTTGTAACCAGAACATTATTCACTAAGTGATTCTCTAATACAGAGTACAACAGCTCATTTCAAAGCTGATTTCTTTCATCAAATAAAGAAATGTCTAAAGTACGTTGCAAATAGGTAAAATTATAGGGTCTACAATTCTTTGTCTTGTTCCAGTATCTCATTTAATCCTAAGAATCGTATTTAGAATTAGTGACTGCTCCATTGTAAACGGAAATACACGACTTTCCATTATTAGACAATATCAGTGGCGTCACTTTCCAAACAGTGATAACGAGTATTTACCTGAAAATAAAAAAAACATGTTTTAAAAACAAATACTAGGAAGTTCGGAAAGAACAGTAAATCAATATCTTGTTTTGATGGAATGGTGTATATAAAAAAAACCAGTAGCTAATTTTCTAACCACATACAGTGTGTATTTATTTATAGGTGTATAGGCCGCTAATATAAAAAGTAAAAAACAAATAAGTAAATTGCTATTTTTTTATTAAATCAACCTTCGGAATCTGTATATTGGAAACTGTAATATCCTCAGATTTACAAACCGTAAGTCTGTTAAGTTTTTTAAATGTCAATTTTTCAAAAAAAAAAAAAATTCGATATCAAATAACACAATAGTCGTTGTCTTGGCCTACTTTTTAAAACTATTAAATATTAATTGTGCAACAACAAAGAAAAATTGAAATATCTAAAGGAAACTGGTAATAGCATCAACTGTTACATATTTGAACATTTAATTGCATGTAATTTTTCAAAAATTAGCATTTAGAATATTTTAGCAGGCTTTGTAATTTCTAGAAAGTTATAGAAACAGTATAATATAAAATTAAACTGAACAAAGCATTTTTTCTTGTGGTTATATAATTCATGGTATTTTTAAGAGTAACAGTAGATAAAAAAAAAGTTGGAAATGAAAATTGATGGAATTTAAAATAAAAATCCATGAAATTGCACTTCTAAAAATATATAGGGTATCTACATTTTTCTGCATGCGCTCAAATATAATAAATTAATAAAAGAAAATACCTGCAAGATGTTTTAGTAAGTAATATATAAATTTAGAGGTAATAATATTGACTGTTATAAACAAATAATGATAAAATACAGATTATACCACAATTATGTGATCAAAGGATTTAAATGGTAAATAATTATTATTTACATGAGTATAAAAAAAGATAATAGTGCATCTTATAAAAAAGAATTCTCAGAAAACATACAATAAGTTTTCTCTTAACAAATTTTGTAGAGTATTCGACATTCTGTTTGGTCTCTTTTTTTTTAATTTTTCAATGTACATAAAATTAATAATGCTAGACAATCCAAACAATCCTACTTTATTATTAAAATAGTAATGACATAATATTTCGTAATTCCAATTTAATTTATGAATTAACATAGCTTTCATAACATTAGTTACTTGTAAAAGCCTTAAATAAATTGTAATATTTTTCCGATCCTTCAGTTCTCTTTATCTGATATAAGATAAAAATCAACAAAATGGCATGAGTTGTGTAATAAAATTTCCAATACTAAGGATGAAGGGATTAGTAAAGATAGATCTGCAAAAATATTTACATAGCAAATAATCAACTTTCAATGGAAAAAGTACAATACCAAGTAAGAATCGCTATTATATTTAGTTACATTTATGTTAGATTAAGAAGATTATAACTTTCCGAACTGCAGCATAATTAGTGTAACTAATCTATAATATTAATAAATAGATAATTTAATCATAGGATGTAGGATACTTTTATAGATTGTTTGTTCAGGTTTCTAACATAATTCATTTCGAAACTTTTTTTTATTAATTTGTGACGTAAAATCCATTATTAAAGTTTGACAGCATATATCATTAATAAACTGGATACAAATTCAGATGTACATCCTTTGTGATACCTGTTCAAGTACTGTTAACCATTATATTAACACCTATTTTACAGAGTTGAATCCGAACATCACCTACCAACTAGTCATAAACTTTACGGGAATCCTCAGTACAACAGAAATGACGGGATTTTACAAGAGTAGCTATGTCAGAGAAGATGGCGTTACAAGGTATCTGTTGACGACTCAGTTCCAACCCACCAGTGCAAGAAGAGCTTTTCCTTGTCTGGACGAGCCCTTCTTCAAGGCTATCTTCGAAATATTCATCACTCACCCCGTTGAATACAACGCTTTATCAAACACACCTAGCACTTTAAATGGGACGGATTTGTAAGTAGTTGCGTGTGGTGACGTCTCTATAATATTTTTAACAACACGAGTATGCCCCCTAAGCTTAGAGTTTGGAACATATTATTAGTTGCCGTGATGATACGTATACATCCATAAATAATGACACAACTCATGTTACTGGCAGTCCCAGATGACTGTCAGAGTGTTTAGGGATCACCCGATATTTTTCAGTACCTAGACTCTAGACTCTAATCTTTAGCATTGCCAAAAGTTATATTTCACCAAACCAACATGGGTTTATTCCGAAACGATTACTGTATCCAATCTAGCTCGATTTACTCAGTATACAACATATCATATGGACAACAAAAGGCAAGTTGATGTGGTGTATACAGATAATAAGTTTATTTGGGTTGTGCGACAATCTGACTCCTCTCATTAAATCTTATTTTTCTCAACGTGAACTATATGTTTTGTAGCGACATCTGGAGTACTCCAAGAGCCAAATTTAAGGCCACTTTTTTTACTATACTTATTAACGATTTACCTCTGTCTCTAAAATCTAATATATCCTTCGTCAACGACTTGAAGATAATTTTGAACGTATTTAATGTAGTGTCGCAATTTGTGTTATAAAAAATTAGAAACTGGAACTTCTAAAATTTCAAATTTCAGGGGAACAGAGACGTACCAATTCGATGACACGGCTCTTATGTCCACCTACCTTATCGCCTTCGTCATTTCCGATTTTACGTGTACCCAAGGTGAAGACATTGGAACTGTCCCTTACCAGATCTGTTCAAGAGATGAAGCGAACAGCACAAGGGAATGGGCGCTGGAAATTGGACCCCCACTTGTGGAAAGTTTGAACGACTATACTCAGTTCGACTACAACAGATCCAAGAGTAAATTGGACCAAGTTGCTATTCCTGACTTTGCGGCAGGTGCTATGGAAAACTGGGGGCTAGTTACGTACAGGTAAAATCATGTCATCAAAACGGATTTTTGCAAGTGATTATTTGAGTATGAAGTTTTTATTTCAAGCACTTCCAAAGCCTTCTATTTCTAAACTTTTTTAGGGAATGCAAGTGTTCTAAATGATACTGATAGCGTTTATAATAATCGCAGCTGTCTATGAATTTCAATTCGATCGTAATTAGTTCAATAAATACATCTAGAAGTTCAGAATATTTAAAAAAATTATTCAAATCATTCGACTCAAAAAAATGTCGGTCACTTTTTTAATGTCAGTCTTAAAATCAAACCAGGTTTAGAAAAATCTTCTAAAACTGCTCAATTATTGAGTTTGTGGGTCTTCCATCTATTTGAAGAAAAAGCACCTAATGAAAGTTCCTTAATTTAGAGAAAATTACTATTTACTTTATTATCTGATTCTTTACAGAGAAGTGTTCTTACTATGGGACTCCGATGAAAGCTCAAACAACTACAAGCAGTTGATTGCGACAATAAACTCCCACGAATTCGGTCACTTCTGGTTTGGTAATTTGGTGACTTGCAACTGGTGGTCGGAAACTTTTTTGAATGAAGGATTTGCCACGTATTTCGAATATTTCACTACACACGATGTGAGTATACCTAAATATAGTTATTTACACCATAAAGGAGGTAAGTATTATTTACCAGCGCTTCAAGCAGGTAGATGTTACAACCAACCAATACCTTTTCTATGATTCCTAATAAGATTGCACAGTTTTTGAAACTAGAACATCCTGAAACATATACAGGCCATTAATTCCGAAGAACATCGGCAACGTTACTGGCTAATACAGGAGTTGATGTATTAGCAATCAAGAGACCTGGTACTATAAATATTCATTCATAATAATTAGTAAAATGTAATGTTCATCAAATATTTCTATTTATTTGTTCATAAAATATGCATTTAAAACTCGAAATCGCTTTTTTCCCTAGGGAGGTAAGTTACCTCACTTACGTCCCGTTGTCCATAGCAACTTCCACTTCTACGGTAAAATCCACTTACCTCCTTGAAAACAATGCATTAATAGAGACTTTTACTACGGTGGGAGCAGATAAATAATATTTTCGTGTATTTAAGGTACTTCCATCCTGGGAACTAGACAAGCAGTATATCGTCGATATCGTGCAGCCAATTTTAATAACCGACGCTCTAGAAAATGCTCTTCCTCTACAATCAGAAGCAAACACACCAACGGAAGTGATGGCTAAGTTTGGAAGAATTTCTTACTCAAAAGGTATATTTAATTGCTTGATGAATTTTCGAATAATATTAAGGTAACGGCCTATCTGACTGGTTGTCGCCAGTTAGCCTTAGCTAGGAATCGCTGATTTACCCTTGTTGTTCTCGGGCGAGGTCCTGTGGGTTCAGCCTTATTTAGTGAGTCCGAAAAGAATTTAAAATAATTCAAAATAATTCAAAAAAATATTGAGATATTTCTTAATAAACCATTTTTTAAACCAAATTTGGTGCGGAATTATTACATTACATTAGTGGTGCTGTTTAGAAGAAATTGACATTTAAATAATATGATACATGACTTTTACAGTACAGAAAGTACAAATCATTTGAAAAAAAACTTAAAATAAGAATTTAATAAATATGGATATGAGTAATTATGTCAACCTTGTTTGAAACTCAAAAATACACAAAATAACGGTAACTTTTTTGCAATAGCGTTGTTAATTTTTCTAAATTACCATTTTTTTAGATGCACCTATTCCACTGTTTGATGATTTTTAGAGCTTCTAATGGTGCAGTAATGACTATCTTTATTTATTTTATTAAAATTTAATAACAAAAGTGTTGATCTTTTCTCCTAAATGGTTAATTTTTCAGATTTCAAACTGAAATCACTCGTTTACACGAAAGTCTTCAGGGAAACTAAAATTGAGAGTTGGGGTAAAAAGCTTCGTCATTTTCCCAAATCTACTCCCATCAGTTATAAAAATTTCCACTAAATTATACAGTTGCTTTTTAATTCTTCAATTTTTGAGAACTTTTCTTCTTTTTAAGGTTAGATTGGTCGTTAATAATGTTTCTTACTTTTCTTCTAGGTGGTGCTATATTTCGCATGGTTGAACATGTAATGGGATCTACAAATTTTAAAAATGGGTTGAGAGACTACTTGGATGAGTTGTAAGTATTTATACGACAAAAAACGCCGGTTTAAGCTTGTTAAAGCCTCGTAAGAAGACACCAAACCAAAATATCTCGAATTTGTCTCTATGACATAATGGCACAAGCTCTTTTAATTTTTTTAGTTAGTTTATTTCTGGAGGACGATCCTTTAGGTCTACAAATATAACACCTAGCATTCAGTAAAGCTTATATTTAACTTTTTAGTCAGTACCAGACTACACTGCCAGAGGATTTATGGAGAACGTTACAAAGATCAGTCGACAATTCTACCGCCAAGTTACCTGCCAATACCACACTGGTCGAAGTTATGCACAACTGGGTAAACAGCCCAGGATTTCCATTGCTAACTGTTGCCGTGCATGGTACACATATTGAAATAAGCCAGGTAAGAAGAGAAGTAGCATGAATTAGCAAATGTTTCACTTTAAGGTCGAGTCAAATGTACACAGGTTCCAATTTGTCAACAATTGTTCAAGCAAATGAGTTAAAGAGACCTTTGCATTGGGTTGTTGATGAACCTCGTGAAATTTTATATCTGTTTAATTCACTGTCGTTTTAGGAGAGGTTCTTGATATCCGGTAATGACACAATAACCAGATGGTACGTCCCTATCAGCTACACAACATCAGAAGACGCTAATAAATTCAACAGCACAGCACCACAACAGTGGCTCACACCGGCAGCAAGTGCTTCTTTCCATATCGAAGTAACTAACGCCACGTGGTTCATACTTAATAATCAGCAATCAGGTGAATATTCATTAAAATATAGAAGAATTATTATATCTCTAAATATATGTATGTATCTATGAAATGTGGAACAAAGTGCAAAAGATATTAGAAATAATTATAAAATCCTACAAATCTTGAGTTAAGTATCGATCTAATATGTACTAGATTTGGTATCGTCTATTTTAAAGAGCAGGGATTGTTTTGTTATGATTAGGGTACTGATTTAGAGATCTGCGGAATTGTAAGGGGGTATTGCACCTATGCAACAGTAACGTACCAGAAAAGACCTTGAAGAGAGCTAAATTCTAGTACAGAAGTTCTATTCGTATATTATTAATTTTCGGACATATTTACATATTCATTTCCTGTAACGGGCTCCAAAGTCTGGTTTCTCTTTGGATACACACACCGTGTACAAACAAAGCAAAGTACCTTAAAATCCTCCGCGTTTCCAAAACCAACAGGCCTCATACCGAATTTAATATAAACAAATTCAGTGTCGATGCCGTCTGTATGTTAATATAAACAGCTGTGTATGATCTCGCTTTGTTTTCAGGATACTTCCGTGTAAACTACGACAACAACGGCTGGAACAACATCAGAGATGCCCTCCAGAAACCTGAATTTGATGGCATCGTCGAAGTTAACCGAGCGCAAATAGTCGACGATCTTTTCAATTTGGCAAGACGCGACAAAATTGAGTACGCTCGGGTGTTCAGCATCGTCCAGTTCCTTGTCAACGAGACGTCTTATTTCACATGGAATTCAGCGTTCAGAGGCTTCAACTTCTTGCTGAGCAGAGTCGGTCTGGAGTCTCAACTAGGCCAAGCCATATCGGTAATAATTGTTGCATTTACTTATTGTAGTAGAACACAGCTTGACTAAATTCGCGAAGCACTGTAGCGACGTTACCAGACCAGCATCGGAGCACATGCTTTGTCAGAACGTCGAATAGTGAACATCGGTACAAATGTTAAGTGCACGAGTCGTGAAATTGTACACAGTACATTTAAATTTACGACAGAAGCATAGAATGGAGGTGTATTTATATATTTAGGAAAAGTGCAAGAAATAATTGCGACGGCAGCTGGCATTAGTGTTAGTACCGTGACAAATGTTGTGGAGCAAGCGAAGGATACTGCAAATAGTGAAATTTCATTGCTCCATACTTGGCATGGTACATATAGAAAGAACAAGAACAGTTCAAGATTGGTATGTTCAAGAAAAAATGGTACCTACACTTAGGGAAAGTTTGCTTATGTTTTTGATTCCTGTGGCAAGACCAACAGATGCCTTAATTATATTTCTTAAAGAGAATGAAACAACACCGCGAAAGAGGTCGACCAATTGATGAATTTATGCCGAAGGCAGAACTAATGTTTAAGTCAAGAACGATCTCATGGGCATGATGACATAGGCTGTAAAAATTACAAAAAATGGTTTCAAATGAAACTTATATGTATACCAAATTTGCCACCATCTTCGTCCCTACATCTGTTTATCAAAAGAATGAACTGAAGCAAAGTTCACGAGATAAAAGAATTTAATTTGAAGATATCAGGGTCATATTATTCTGAAACTACCACCATAGCACCCCGACCTGAAACTTATAGAACGTGTATGAGCGTCACTCCAACAATATGTCACTTCCAGTATGACAGATGTAGAAAAGTTGTGAAACAAATCTGTACTCGACCTGGCTATTGATCAAGTTATGGTAAACGTTCAAGATGGTGAAGATAAAATTCTTTATTTTGATACCAACTGCAGTGAACCTGAAGAAGAACATGCTTAACTATAGTTCTTATGGTTACAATTCACTAAATAACTATATCTACCTAAGCAAAATTTTTGCACTGAAGATACCTGCCCTACTATTAAAGTTTCCTGTCTTTATCATTGCGTCTGCTGACTCCTGACTCTGTTCTTGATCTTCGTATCTCGCGGAGAAAGTTGGTCAAGCTGTAATTTCTATTTCCTTTGTGTGTGAGAATAAAGATGGCTTATATTTTAATTGTTAAAAGAATGTTTTACATTTGATTCCAGGTAATTTTTCCCGTTTACTAAATACATTGTATTTCAGGGCTACGTCTTGAATTTGATGGAAAATTTGTACACCAACGTATCCTTTGTCAGACACAACACAGATGACCAAATCCATACTTTTAAACAAGTTTTAGCACTGTCTACAGCCTGCAGATTCGGAAAATCTGCTTGCATTGCTTCCAGCAAAGTGTTTTTCCATGTGTACAAAGATTTTGGATTAAGGTATACAATAGTTTATACTCTTTTGAGTTTAGAATGATCCAGGAAACAAATAGTTGAATAATATTTTGTTGTAGACCACCCAAAAATCTACGCGGAGTAGTTTACTGTAACGCTCTGAGGCACAGCACCGATTCAAGTGATTGGGAGTTCCTTTGGCAAGAATATCTGAGCACCACTCTTGCTTCCGAACTAGTAACCATAATTCCCGCCCTAGGTTGTTCCCGGGATAGAACATTGCTGGAGAGGTAAAGTACAGTGATGTCTTTATGGGGATACTGTAGAAATTCGAAAATATAAATGTGAAAGCAATGCTTCTTTGATCATAAAAGGTTAATAGTTACCAGAAGAGTAGTTTAATATGTTTCCCTGACCGATGGAGGGTTGTTTCATCCAATTATTATGGTACCAGTACTTATAAAACTTTGGGCACATTATTTCTTACAGTGGATACAAAACTGAAACTGGTACATCAATCACTTTGATAACTACATACATGGAACAGTCAGATATTGGTATAGATATGTGTTAATGGGGTTTAAGGGTGTTTTGGTATTTTTTTTTCAATACATTAGAAGACTCGACGTTTGTTAATAATGTTGTCTAACTTTAATGTTTTACTAGCAATGTTAGTAGCAAGTAGAGAAATTATCTCACAGGAGCTGGACGTTTGCAATCAGTTTTATCGTCTTCTAATAGATAATCTACACGACTTGAGACGTGACAATTACTTTTTGGTAATTAACAATGATTTTCGCAGATATCTCAACTTGTCCATCACAGAAAACTCTGGAATTAGATCCCAAGATCGTCTCTCTGTATTCAATTCAGTCTTCAACGGCAATCCAATGGGAATTGAAGTGGCTTTTGAGTTTTTGACAAACAATCATGCTCGTATTAATGAAATGTAAGTACCTACATGCTAATCTGAAACATATTTCAATGCAGTTTCTTTTTGTAGGTATCTTAGCATGAACGCTTTGCCAAACTTAATCAACGGTCTTGCCGCGGTCTTCACCACAGAGGAAGAAATTGAAAGGGTAAGTCTAGGGTTAAAAATGATTGTTTCCGTGGTATAATGTACTGTTGTTGTTGTTACAGTTGGAGGAATTTATAGAGGAAGGTCTTCCAGCGGAGTATCTTCCAGCAGCGACCACAGCTATAGAAACAGCTAGGGCTAACATAGCGTGGGTCGAGCATTTCCATCAACATCTATTTGACTTTTTCTTCGTAGTTAGCACTCCTGGTGCAGCTCCCGAAACGCTTGGTCTTCACGTCTGCGTTGTACTTTTGGTAGTCTTCTTCGGTCAACTGTTTTAAATTACTGTTGTTGCGATAAGATGTATGTAAAATGTTATTTGGTTCTAATAGTATTATTATTATATATACGATATTTATTAACACTTTAGTTAATTAATCTTGAAATAAGACTAAAGAGGCGACTGTGAGAATTTATTCTATTCTATTTAATCATTAGTCATTGTAAATTTTTATTTTATTACGTCATGTTACCGTTCATGTACAGATGTTATTTAAATAAATAAACAAGTAATATTTTTAGATAATAAAAAACTAATTTTCGTTTCATTTGCCGAGTTTTTTTTTCCATACAAAGGACCCCGCGTAAACTTTATGGGTTTGAGTTCCCGGACGATTCGTCTGAATTTTTGATATGTTGTACTTGACACTCTCCTGATCAAAAGTATTCAAGGGACCAAAGTCCGGAAATGAACAGTTTTCGAGGTATCAAGGAAGCAAAGTCTCAAAAACTTGAGACTTTCTTTGATTTTCCAGTCTTGAAATTCCTTCAGTTCTTTGTTGTATGTAGATTTTGATTTCTCCGGAGTGATGCCTGCAGTAGCCGCATTAGCTTTTTCTACAATTCCAGATGAAAATTCCACATTTTCCATTTTTTCAGTCTTGGTTTTCGGATTTCAACGTGATTTCAACTAAAGAGTTGTTTACTGACAACCCTTGGTTACAGACACAATTTACACTCACATCCTTTGTAATATTTAAAAATACATTCATTATAGTCCACAGTACAGGCCCCCTCTAGAAAGTTGATTACCACATACTTTATAACTCCTGAGGAGCTTCGTTTTGACGAGTCTACCACATTTTTCCTCCGCGACTTTTCTCCGCTTTTCCACTCGGAAAAGTCCAAAAACATGGCAATTTCCCGGGGTCTTGAAAACTCAAGACCACATCTTTTATTTTTAGCATAAGTAACTGGAAATTTTGTTGCAAATGCCGATTTAAATTTGTCCGACAGAAATTCCTCGGTAAATCGGCATTTGCAACAAAATTTCCAGTTACTTAAGCTAAAAATAAACGATGTGGTCTTGAGTTTTCAAGACCCAGGGAAATTGCCATGTTTTTGGACTTTTCCGAGTGGAAAAGCGGAGGAATCGAGAAAAGTCGCGGAGGAAAAATGTGGTAGACTCGTCAAAACGAAGCTCCTCAGGAGTTATAAAGTATGTGGTAATCAACTTTCCAGGGGGGGCCTGTACTGTGGACTATTTCGTTAAACCACTTTTTCTGACATTGACAACTTGAAATTTTAAGTTACTTTTATTTGTTATTAAACCTGTTTTTTTCATGCCGATAACAATAAACGAAGTTATGTTGGTTGCCAAATCGTTAAATTTAAGTTACAGGTCATAATAAATACTAAATTATCATTGCGCTTAAAGGCAAAGTATTGGCTTTATTATTATAATGTTGTGATTGTAATTGTTGTAATTATGTTTTGCCACTTACCTAATGGGTTCGAATTATTAGGAAATGTAACTGTAACTCATTTCTATATATTTTAAAATATACTTTCCATCTACTATACACAAATAATATAATAATGATTATTTGGCAGCGAATTTTCTCGAATCAGTTTTATTCAAATTGTGAAAACAGTGTTCTCTAATATTTTACAGTGATATGTCTCTTGATTAGGTTAGTTTTAGTTTGTCATACTGTGACATTGAGTAACGTCATTAAATAAAGACATTGTGAGCAAAAGGTGAATATTTTCGAAAATAGCATCAACTTTTAAGGTAAACCACTAAATGCTGATTGCAGATCTTCCATTGGTTCCATCACTAAAGTCACCACTACTGCTGTTTTTTTGTGATTTTAATTAGGATACAAGTCTAGAAGAAGATTTTTTTTGCTATTCATTGTTTTGTGTTATTACTTCATTTATCTTGTGAGCCACAATATTTGTTCCTTAGAGTTTAATATTAAGAAATAGATACTTAAAAAAATAGACATAAGAATTACACAACCATCATTATTATTTGCTGATGTCAAAAGTGGTACAATAAGAATTGTAATAGACCTGACGTTTCAAGAGAAACATGCACCTAACTGAAACAGTTATTTTTCAGGCAATAATATGAAGTTCAGTGTTGTTTTCGTTTCGCTGTTGACAGTAGTACCATGGATAACCTGCAGTAAAGCTACCAAAAGATCCGTGAAATGGAGATTACCAGATAATATTCGACCACTGAATTATCGAATTCATATAAACGCAACGGAAGAAGCTTTAACGAACGATACTATTAATGAATATCGCGGAATGGTTGTGATTACTTTCATGGTAATAAACAAAACGAAAAAAATACAGCTCCACGCTTCTCATGTTAATCTGAGGATGAATTTGATTACCGTTAACGAAAGAGATATTAAACGAAAGGATTATTTTATAGACCCAATAACGGATATTTTGACAATAACAACACCCCGTAAGATATTCTTGCACTATTTATTTAGTTTTATATTTTGCCGTTAGTTTGAGAATTCGTATATGACAGATACTTGTACCAGCAACTGCTATTATCAACTATACTTCTAAATTCGTGAAAATTATCATACTTTGGCCTTAACATTTATGATCTTTTAACAATAACAATAATGATAACAATAACAGTAACAAAAGTAATGATATTGCCAGGAACAGCTTCTTTATGGGATGGGCTATATGTATACCCATATGAGTAACTATTTATTTACTCATATGTATATGCCCTTTGTATCAATATTAGCGACATTAAATACAGCTAGGATCATTTGTCAGCCGAACACACCAGACATATACTTAGATTCCTTAAATCCACGAAAGAAGTATCTTGTAGCCAATGCTCCTTACTGCTTACGCCCTACAAAGGGACCAGAAAATGGCAGAGAGTGACCTGTATTGCAGATCTTAGACAGTTAGCAGGATTGGCCACTAGATGTAGGTTATACCTCTTATTTGTTCTTATTCCTTTCCTGGATTAAAGAAATATAAACAGTTGGATCATTTGTCAGTTGTCGTACTGATGTGGGCAAACAAGTCGGAAACCTGTATATGTCTGGTGGATAACGATACTATTTTTTATTTTACTTTTGCAGCAATGGGTGAGAACTCCGAAGGAAAACTTATAATTGATTTCACCGGTAATATCAGTACAGCGCAATTACAGGGTTTCTACAGAACCAGCTACGTCACAGCTAAGGGAACTACAAGATACATGGCGGTCACCCAAATGGAACCCACTTTCGCGAGGTCAGTTTTTCCATGCTTCGACGAGCCCTCCTTCAAAGCTGTCTTTGAAATATACATCACTTATCCCCTTGGATACAATGCTTTGTCGAATATGCCAGGAAAAATATATACTAAGGACAGGTATGTCTTACACCAGCTGTAAATACGTTATGACACACCCTGTTTGGTTTCAGTAAATCAGAGACGATGCGCTTCGAGAAAACAACCGTGATGTCCGTTTACATAGTTGCTTTCGCCATTTCCGATTTCACATGTTCCGAGGGAAAACCGGTTGGCACCGTTGCTGTTCGGATATGCTCGAAATCGGAAATAAGCGAGCTAAGGAAATGGTCGCTAGAATTCGCGTCTAAGGTTTTGCAGTACTTGAACGAGTACACCCAGTACGACTACAAAAAATCCATGGCAAAGGTGGACCATATTGGAATTCCAGACTTTGAGGCTGGTGCGATGGAAAACTGGGGACTAGTGACATACAGGTAAGTAACTGTGGTAGGTAAGCGTGACGTCACATATTTAGGCAACCCGCAATAAATTGTCATAGTTGAAATTGTACAGACCGAATACGAGCCTTGTGTACTATTTACATAGGCACTATAAATGATTTTTTACAAGGATTTAGAAGTATTTAAGAACAACCAACACGTGTTTGGTAAAATAAACTTCTGCAAAAAATTAAGGGAGCAAAAAAATTTTTCGAATTTTTAGTGATTTTTCAGAATGCTGTATCTCAGTTAAAAATGATCGTATCAAGGTTTTAAAAAAAGCATTTTAAAGCGCCGAATGTCTAGTTTCCAGATTTCTTAGCTCAAAATTTTTAGGAGCGACAGTCATCGCGAAATTCTAAGAAATAAGACTAAAA